AACAGATTTGTGAGTTTAAATTATATTTTAGCCTAGGAGGGGTCTTATACTGTGTTGACAGATGCTGCACCACAGCGTAAGCTCTCCTGCCCTTCAGGTAGGCAATTAAAAAACATGAAAACCACAAGGTAATGTTTCTTGCTATGTTCCTTTGCTTGATTTATCTCCACATAAATTGCCAGAGTCATTCTCGGGTGAAGTCTTTTTGTAGTAGCTGTGGTAACCTCACTCAACAAAATGTGGCAGGAAACATGCTATCTGAAGCTATTCATGTGTTACCCAAGAACACATTTACAATATCTGCACAACAGTATATAACACTTCATTTCTTAGCTTCCTGTCAAAACACAAACTGCTACAAGTAGGAAATATCAAACCGCACACCTCAGATCTTAATCTGGGGCCTTGTTGTCTAACCTTCTACTTAAGAAGATATCACGTCTCATTAATAGTATTATACAATAGAGACAATTATTAAAATATCAACAAAATTTTTTTGAGGTTGTAGAAATAATAAATGTGACTTTATCAACTGTTAGCTAGGCATTCAAACAAATCAGAGATTATGAGGTTAAGATCTTATTCATGCACCAATTTTTGTGATGAAAAATAAATGACTTTGAAATTGGTTATAAAATAAGAATTTTTAAACTGCTTCAGATGAAAAACTAACTAGGATTTTGATTTTTTCCGTTTGGATTCCACGTGACAGTACACACATCACAACCACTGAACACAAAACTGAACATGGTAAAGATGTTCAGATCCAAGTTTTACATGTTTCATCACTACATCAATAGAGCAAAAATAAATGATTCTAATTATTAGGGGAGGTGTTATAATCCCTAGGCAAATGCTTCTCCACATAAAGTGTGATATTTGAATATAATGTCATTTTCATCGCACAGTGTAATGCTTCAACATATACAGTAAACACTTCATAGAAAATGTACATATATATTGAAAGATTAGCATTGCTTCAGTTGTAAACATGCACTGTAATATCACACATCATCATAATTACATCCAAGGGGGTCACAAAATGTCATAAAACCTGAGGCTTTGCCAAGAGTTTTATCACATTTTGTTACATCGAAGGCGAAATACCCGATCCTTTACCCGACATATGAAAGAGTGTTTTTCTCTCATTTCTTATTCTAAACTATTGGGAAAAAATAGCTTCAGGCACTGACAAAGAATGCAATATTACACAAATATATTTTCATTACGTGGTATGTAACTAATTGATAAATTGAAGCAGCAAATGAATACTCCACGCCTAGATTCAGCTAACAAAGTTTGCCCTCGAAAATTAAAACTACGTATAAACAGTCACTGCAAATAACTATTTGTACACAAATAAGTATACGTTGTACCAAGGTATGACATCAATCGGGAAGGGACATGTCACATTTCTATGTAGGTACATGTGCGTTCCTGTATTGCATGGGTCGGTGTGTCTTACAAGAACTGTGAACCTGGGTGTATTGCCCAGGACAGATCAGTATCACACAGGTAGAGAAATGAGAGAAATATGATTTAATTACTGAAATGAAGACACATAAAGATAATCACTTATTTAGTAAACACTTCAGCTTATGGTACAAATAAATCCCCAACATTAGATCTTTGTAATAACAAGAAATGGTGGAGAAATCTTTAAGTCATATGCCATTCATTGGAGAGACATAGTTCTATACTAAAAATCCTTTTGCTAGTGAGCAAATTGATCAATGATTTTCAAAGAAAAGTAATGGTGACATTGATTTTCATCTCGACTTTTGATCCAATCCTAAAATGTGAAGTAAAGCTTGAGAAAGCAAATATTTCATATAAGATCCAGCAAGTCGAAACTTATTTTCGTAATTGCCTTTGTGGAGTTTTTGAATATCATATCCACTCGGCCTAAGATTTGTGACACAAATAATATTTAAAGGGAAGTGGAGTTTCATCGACTTTTTATGGTTGTACAATTATTTTCAATGTCGTTTTCAGGATGAGTCAGGGGTCAGTCTGGGGTCAGTCAGGGGTCAGTCAGGGTAAGTCAGGGGTCAGTCAGGGTTAGTCAGGGGTCAGTCAGGGTTAGTCAGGGTCACTGATGTCAATAACAGTGTCATTCAGGCTTCATGTGAAAATGAGACTTTTTACTTTAAATTTCCTTATTAAGATTTATGAAGTGGGGATATAAAAATTGTGATATTATCCAGATGCACAGTTTGAATTGCATTTAATCACATAACAGCATTAACAACACCAGGACGGGCATATCAGAGAAAATTGCCCTAGGCTCTCTCATTAATTATTATAATGAGATAAAATATTTTATCTTGTAAGTTATCTTATTAGATTAATGTCCAGGTGTAATTAAATCAACAAGCAGGTATGCTTACAGGTATGTAGTTCTAAAAGCAAGTATGTCTACAGGTAAAAAGTTTACAGACAGGCATGTCTAAAGACAAGTAGTTTTACAGGTAGATGTGTCAACAGGTAAGTAGTTTTATAGGTACCTACATTTGCAGGTAAGTAGTTTTACAGGTATGTACGTCTGCAGGTAAGTAGTTTTACCGGCAGGTATATTCACAGGTAAGTAGTTTTACAGGTAGGTATGTCAACAGATAAGTAGTTTTACAGGCAGGTATATTCACAGGTAAGTAGTTTTACAAGTAGGTGTGTCAACAGATAAGTAGTTTTACAGGCAAGTATGTCTACATATAATCAAGCTATAATATCAGGCATGTCTTTCATAAAATTAATCTACATGTCTACGGTAAGTAGATCTATAGACAAATTTCTCTACAGGTGAGATAGTCTATAGACAGGGATGTCTATATTTAAATATGTCTACTGGTAAGTACTACTACATACAGGTATGTCTACATGTTGCTCCTACTTATTACTGTAAATCACTTAGATTCAGCAAACACGCGATTCCATGAAATTACCTCTTCACCAAACATCATCGTGAATACATGATTTCACAGACGCTGATCAAGAAATTACTTTAAATTTGCAAATGAGTTATTAAAGACATGAAATCTTCGAGACACTGACAGCATTTGAATTTGAATTGGCACTCCTGGCCTATTAATGTGAAAATAAATCCAATATGGAATATAAGTAATTTACATTAACACAGAATCTTAACACACTTGTGGCATAAACATTAACACAATCACATTATAACAAACACAGTTAATTCAATTACATATCACATCATACAAACTCGCTTAATTACTTATCACATTATACAAACTCACTTAATTACATATCACATCATACAAACTCGCTTAATTACTTATCACATCATACAAACTCGCTTAATTACTTATCACATTATACAAACTCACTTAATTACATATCACATTATACAAACTCACTTAATTACATAGTACATTATACAAACTCACTTAATTACATATCACATTATACAAACTCACTTAATTACTTATCACATTATACAAACTCACTTAATTACATATCACATTATACAAACTCGCTTAATTACTTATCACATTATACAAACTCGCTTAATTACATATCACATTATACAAACTCGCTTAATTACTTATCACATCATACAAACTCGCTTAATTACTTATCACATTATACGAACTCACATAATTATTAATCACATTATACAAACTCACTTAATTACATAGCACATTATACAAACTCACTTAATTACACATCACATAATACAAACTCACTTAATTATTTATCACATCATACAAACTCGCTTAATTACATATCACATTAATACAAACTCACTTAATTACTTATCACATTATACAAACTCACTTAATTACTTATCACATTATACAAACTCACTTAATTACTTATCACATTATACAAACTCACTTAATTATTTATCACATTATACAAACTCACTTAATTACTTATCACATTATACAAACTCACTTAATTACTTATCACATTATACAAACTCACTTAATTATTTATCACATTATACAAATTCACTTAATTACTTATCACATTATACAAACTCACTTAATTACTTATCACATTATACAAACTCACTTAATTACTTATCACATTATACAAACTCACTTAATTATTTATCACATTATACAAATTCACTTAATTACTTATCACATTATACAAACTTGGTTAATTTAATTGCTCTATGTACATTGAATCAAACCTTAACTAAAGAAATGAATATAAATGAAATTTGATCAAAGTTTTTGGAATAGATAAAAAAAATTGACAGAATAAAACTTAAAAAGTAAGATACGATTGTATTTGAAATCAATGTAAAATCAAACTATAACAACATGAATGTAAACATTTCAGACAATAACTCAACAGAATAATTCAACAAAAACATTTTTTTTTTTTGAGAAAAGATCACAAATCATATGGTTCCTAATTCTATGAATTCAAAACTCTCTCTTTCCTTACTATGTTGACATCCAACATAGTCACCCAATACAGTCTAACACATGATAAATGTAGCATTTAATTCTAGACTGAGGAGCTGGTATGAGTTTGCATTTAATTGATATCGAAGACTTCCTAAATGATTTATACATTCTAAAAAATAATTCTGGAGAAAAAAAAACTACAAAGATGTTTGCTCAAATACAGTTTACACATATAAAACATTTAAGTACAATAATAAAAAAAGTTTTTAATTCTGAAAATATATATTAAACATATACTAATTGAAATGCTTAAATTTGTTGTCATATTTTCTAAAATTCACAAAAACAAAAAAAGGCAAAAATATCTCTGACTTTACATAATAGATTTAATGTACCACTACAAATTGAAATAAAGTAAGTATTTTTCAACATAAGTAAAATCGAAATTATGAATGAGGCATTGGAGATAAAAAAAATCCTTTCTATAGTTAAACAGATCTAAGATGAAGTAAAATACCATTGATAAAGAATTGCACAAGGGTTTGTGGGAAGAGAAATTGAACATATCTACAAGTATTCAATTTTCTCAAAAATCTCAAGAGATGTGGAATGTGTTCAATGAGAAGACAAATTTTCAGAAACCATTTCATTCTGCTCCTCTTTTAGTGAAGAATGGAAAACTTTGCGGATCTTGTCAACAAGGACATCGGAGCCAAGTTTGGCCTCCGCACTGACTAGACTAAAGTTGAGAAAGCCATGAGGAAGATCTTCAATCATGTGTAGGTCTACTGTCCTACCTAAACTTCTTAATTTCCGTGCAAACATCACAGAATCATCCAACAGTGGGTCAAGGTGACAACCCTGAAACATCAAACAAACTTGAAAATCAATCCACTATATATAAATCACATCATTGTAAAACAAATCATTCTATATAAACTTTACAGTACAGTCAGAAACAGAGGTTGGTGAGAGAAAAACTCGGCAGCATTCAATCCCGATTTTCAGACTCATGCCAATTTCAGAAAAAAACAAAAAAAAATCCTGAAACCTGCCTTACAATATGAGAAATAAAATATTCATGAAACAAGCAGTTTTTAAACAGATCCATCAGTCATTAAGCCCATATCTGTTGATAATAAGCTTACTAAGTTTTAATTGCAGTTTGAGCAAAACAATTTTTTATTAGTGTCTTACAACATGTACATCCACTGAATCAAGTTGAAGAAATGTTAAAAGACTGTGTACTCACATGTGAAAAGTCTCAATCGATCATCAGGTTTTTCCCCACATACAATATTACAGGCATATTCTATTTTTATTTCTTTTCCATTTGAACGATGGAATCATACAAACTTTAATGACATTGTATAATTTCTCAAGATTTCAAAATTACAAGTAAAGTTCCTCCGTCATCATGAAATTGTCTTCTGTATTATCCACACTTCAATAATCAGAAACATATCCCAGCTAAATGTTTGACATTAATAACCATCACTTTTGTCAACTTACCACAAGATACAGTGGAGGAAGAAATGCCAGCATCTCATCTGGGGCTACCATAGGGGACATGTATGGGTTTTTGACAATTGGAAGACTACGGAATATACGCACAGGACTCTCTATGTGGTGTCTAGCCTCATACACTGGGCTGAATCCTTTCTTGTACCCAAGACGGTCAGAAATACCAATAGCTGGCATGCTAGGACTAATTGGAAATTTGTTTCCATGTTTGGTGGGAGAGCTAGGCAGACTGAGGTGCAAAGACTGACGAAGAGTGGGGACAGTTTGTCCACTGTTTGCCAATTCTAGATTGGACAGTTGTTTTTGAGAGTTATTTGGCTTTTCATCCAAGGGAAGATCTCCAAGAGTAGAGGTAGCTAAAGAGCTGCCTCCACTTGTGTCCAGACATACACTGTTGAATTCGTCCGGGGAAGCAATTTCACTGACCTCAGCATCTGACTGATCTTGAGAGCTGGCATCTACAGCAACACTATCAGACTGAACTTGATCATTCTCCACAATAACAGCAGAGTCTGTATCACCTTGGTTCTGTGTATGATTATTTGTTAACACAGGAAAACCCAGGTCGGAGTCAAGAGATTCAAGTGAAGTAACTCTATTGAGAATGTCAACTGAAGAGCCATCATCGTGACTATAGGAGTCACTGGATGGGCTGTTTTCTTCACAGTCCACTGTTTCTATGACAACAAACTCTTCTTCTATATCACGACTACTACGCCTCTGATCAAGGAAGTCATTTGGAATACCAGCATAGGCTGTAACAGTGAATGGAAATAAACAATGCATGTATTATCCATCAATAGAATTATCTAGAAAGACAAGGAGTGTTTGAGAAACTACAAGATAACTATGATAAAGAATATACATCAATTTAACGTTGAATTATTCACGTGTATAAAAACCAGTTTTAATGATGTTTTTAATCTTCAGCTTTCCTTCATAGCTGATTACTGCTCAAATGATGAAAACTTTGCCTCAAAAGCTAAGATAAGGATATTTGAAATAGGAAGACTATTGATGTGAAAATTATCCTATATCATTTGAATAAAAGTTTAGAGAGGACTAACCTGCCATGCAGCGGACTAGAATACCAACAGGCAAGAGTGGGTCCATTAGTGACAGCATGCGAGAGGGTGAAGGTGTATAATGGACCAACACAGGTGTATACGCTGCCACAATCCCATCTGGGACTCGGATTCCAAATGAGGCTGCTCTCATTGCTGTGGAGATCATTAGGTTGCCTCCAGCACTGTCACCTGCTAAGCAGATTACCTCCCCTGTCGAGCCTTTGAAGAACAAAAATAGGAGTCTCATCGCACAAAAAGGTTGGAGGTGCACACATTACATAGCTAGAGGATTTTCAACAATTTTCACTTGTGTTTAATTAGTGGAATTTAGTATTCACATATTAGTATGTGGAGTGTGGATTGAAATTTATCACCAAAATATGGATTTAATTCAATATTTATTAATATTGAGCTTATTGATGCTTACAAAGCATATTTATACATCTAATGATAAAGATGAGTTAGCCTTTGCACGATTATCTTACCAAAATGTGTAATAAAAAGCCGTTCTTCTTATGCATATCTACAGTACATTCCGTGTGATTCCATTCCATGATTCGTATACCTATGCTTATATATACAGAGTTGGGGCCTCAATTTATGTGAGCTGTTGCACGCTTGATGTGACCACGAAAGAAAAGTTGACTTGCAGAGATCGTATTTCCTGGTTTGGTTATGAATAGGTAGATAATAACTTGTACTTATGATTTCAACACTGAACACTGTTGATTAGGGCTGGTGTAAGGACAAGTGCTTGTGTAGGTAAGATGAATAAGGGATAATTGGATAGGTAAGTGAATGACAGCAAGACTTGTCTGATGTCAAAGAAAATAAACAAGAAGATAAACAAACATTACAAAAGCAGAAGCTGTTTCTACCAATTTTCATCCCCAAAATGTATCTGTGCACATTAAACAGGTTTTTAGGGAAGTCAAAATTACTTGATTGTGACAATTTGTAAAAATTTACCAAGACTGCGACAATTTTTTACTGCCCAGGCATAAGCATAGAAACACTCCTCCAATGCTCGGGGGAAGGGGTGCTCTGGAGACAGTGAGTAGTCAATAGACAGGATTGGCGCATTTAGGTCCTTGGCCCACTGTCGTAGATACACCTATCAACCAAGCAATCATATTAAGATGTCATCTAATTCTGATATGCCTGGAAAAAATGTTTAGAAATGACACAATACTTAATGGTGTACAGAGCCTAAAATTTATGATATTACATTTGTATTCCGATGTCTGGACATTGTGTAATCATCATTCTATCTTAACTAGTGCAAACCTTTCCCTTTTGTTTCTCTTCTATCCTCTTTTTAGCTCTTAACACTGAACTAAAGTATTATGGCACCACAAGAAAGATCCCTTCAGTACTTAAATAGAAAGTAATAAATATATCTTTGTCATTCCAAGATGGCCATCTGGCTGCCATTTGTTTTTAGATTTTTAAAAATTAGTCAGAAAATGGAAAATTCACAGCAACATATGAAAATTTAAGAATGCTTCATCCAATACCACTCAAAAAACAGCAATATTAAGCCATAACTGTCAAAACTTCAGGAGGACTTTTTTTTATCATAACGGAAACTGGAAACCTACATATTAACTATAAGATAAGATACAAGATAACATTACCTCATGTGATTTTGAAGACTGGGCCACAAATCCCCCTCCATGACAGTGGACCAGAAGACAAGGAGACAAGGGCAGTGGTACAGCTTTTTTGGGGAGCGGTTTGGTTGACTTCCTTGGCTGAAAAAAGTAGAGGTAAAACTTCGAATTTATTTTCTAGCAGTACACCACCATAAAGGATAAAATGTAATTATGAGGACCATAAGGAAAAAAATTATCTGAAGAACTTAGTATTTTAAATTGATTAAAATAAGAAAATTTGAAAACCAATACTAAAATTTCTGCTAGTGTATAGGATGAAGTGCTTCAACCTACCTCAACATGGGTTAACTATCTTTTTGCCTTTTTTTAAAGTTGAGAACAGTCTTCATATGTAAACTAACCTGACCCACTCTATACTCGCTGGAGAACAGGCGGACATTCACTGGACCGTGGCCAGTATGGGCACAGGGAGGCGTAATTGTCACAGTTTCTTTTCCCTCAGAAGCCTCTATTTCAAAAGGTTCTGGTGGCAGTACCAGCACTTCATTCACCTGCACTGATGGACACACGAATGTTGGTAACTGCTGCAAACAAAAGCAAGAGACATTGAAAGAAAAATCTCAAGCCACTTTTTTCTTCAACAGAAAGAAGTGTTTCTTCATCATTTTATACAAAAGAGATACTTCTGATTATCACGGCCATTCAATATAAATACAGTAAAAGTTTGACCTCTTTCCCACCCCATCCTGCCCCTAACTATCACCACCACCCAAAACCACCTGTCTCATTTTTTGCTATATTGACTATGAATACATTGTTTATAATAATAACAAAAAAGTAAAAACAATGTAATGTTATTACACATGAAACTTTCATTCATACCTCCCCAAAAAATAACAGATTAAAACTGAAATGATTGGCTGCTCTTTCAATTTTACCTCCAAATGGGAACACGCCAACTGATGGCTAGAAGGGCACTTTACCGGGAAATTGACAAACACATTGCCCTATAAGTGTACAGGAGATCAGGGTTTTCCATAAGAGCTGGTCGCTGGCCAATCTGGACGGCTACTTTGATCATTTGGCTGCCTACACCAATCTAGTTCTGTAATAATGTTCCGTTCACGACTACACGTACATGGCAGGCCAGTCTCCTACTTTCACTACACAGCCTACTACTAACAAAATTATGGAAAACCCTGGGAGATTATCCAGTCTTGAAGTGCAAACCAAGAACAGATCCAGTTGGGCTCATTACGTTTCAAACAGTGTTGATACTTTGTTTACATACAACAAAACTACCACTATAAAATGTTTGCAATGTTCTACAAGTTCTTGGTTTTTATTTTTGGTTTACATATGCATCCATGTTTACATTTTTTCTACCCTTCATAATGCTTGATGTAAATTTACAAGTTCTATGCTATAGTACTTTCAATCTTACCTGCATGATCCCTGATTCTGTGATGGACCAGAATGCTTTACAAAACCTTACATCGGCCATCCTTGTCACTGCACATATCTGTTCAACAAGAAAAAATCATTATATCTGTCAGTTATTGGAGTTAGTTACAAAAGTATGAAGCATAATAAGTATTTGAACATATCTGTCAATATTATTGTCAATAAATTAAGAAAACTGGCAAAATTTCTTCATGTATGGAGTACTAATGTACCTATATACTTAAATGAGACAAGAGGGTCAGGGCCCTTAATGGTCATCCGATAATGGATGGACAAACCACAGAATTGACCGATGGTGGTCTGACAAATCTGATGAATTCAAATTTTGAATATTCTTTGAAAGTATCAGAAACTACAAAATGCCTATGGTTACCATGTTTAAGTTTTGATCAGACTGAAAAATGACAACAAATCATCTCTTTCTTTTCCTTGAAAAATCAAATTCCAATGAAACATGAGGAGAAGTTTAGACTATTTGTTCTAGATGAGTTATTTTAGATTTTGGATCAAAGTGTAAAAATAAGATTTGGCCAAGACAATCTCAGGATCACTTTATGCATGTTTGATATCATTATCACTCCGTGATAATGTTTTATGCTAAGGCATTAAGAAAGTGTAGCGTTTTCCAGCAAAATATTGTATAACTTCCCTTTTGGAGCCATAGGGACCAAATAAATTTTCTGAATTTAAGAAATGATTTTGTACCATATTTGGTTTAAATCCATTAAAGTCTTATGATGGAGTAGTGTTTTTTGAAGCAAAATTATTGACGTATTTTCCCATTTGGGGTCAAAACAACTTTCTATATTTAAGAAATGAGTCCCCATTCCGAATGATGTTTCAAACTAAATTTGGTTGAAATCCATTCAAGGATTACGGAAGAATAGCATTTTGAAGCAAAATATTGTCCAAATTTCACTTTTGGGGCTTTGCCCCTAAGTCACTAGGGGTTAAATCAACTTTCTTAATTTAAGAAATGATTCCCACTATCAATGATGTTTCAAACCAAATTTGGTTGAAATCCGCCTAACCGTTAAGCTGGAGAAATGCTTTAAAGGAAAAGTTTACACTTGGCAAGCGGCGCCTGGCGATGGAGGATGCAAGATAGCAATAGGTCGTGTTGACCCTTTGGATCAGATGACCTAACAAGAGATCCCAGAGGGATCTTGGCGCCCACCATTTGAGGATCTGTTTTCAGTTCTTGAAGATTTATTTTTTTTTGTGTGTTACAGGTGTTGTAAATGTTCATGAACTGGTCTTCATTGAATGTACTCAATGATGGCACAAGATATTTTTATTAAGCACCTATTAGCAAATATCATTTGAAAAAGATCCCAAAGTATTATTAGATAGCAGTCAGTTACAGGTGGATAATGGAAAATATGCTTGTGCTGTATTACTGTCGACATCTAAGATGGCTGCCTGTGGGCCACCTTGATTTCAAATCAGTCCAAAAAAGGTACAATGCACAACTAGGGACCAAGGGAAACCAATATCTATGAAATATCAGAAAGATCCATCCAGTACTTCCTCAGATATAGCAGTAACAAGATTTTACTCTCAAAATCCAAGATGGCTGCCTGTCAGCCATCTTGATTTCGGATCAGTCCAAAAAGATATAATGCACAACTTGGAACCAAAGGGAACCTGCATATGAAATTTGAGAAAGATCCATCTAGTACTTTCCAAGAAATAGCAGTAACAAACTTTTACATTCAAAATCCAAGATGGCCACCTGTCTGCCATCTTGAATTCGAACCAGTCCAAAAAAGGTACAATGCACAACTAGGGACCAAGGGGAACCTGCATATGAGATTTGAGAAAGATCCATCTAGTACTTTCCAAGAAATAGCAGTAACAAACTTTTACATCCAAAATCCAAGATGGCCACCTGTCGGCCATCTTGAATTCGAACCAGTCCAAAAAAGGTACAATGCACAACTAGGGACCAAGGGGAACCTGCATATGAGATTTGAGAAAGATCCATCTAGTACTTTCCAAGAAATAGCAGTAACAAACTTTTACATCCAAAATCCAAGATGGCCACCTGTCGGCCATCTTGAATTCGAATTAGTCCAAAAAAGGTACAATGCACAACTAGGGACCAAGGGGAACCTGCATAAGAAATTTGAGAAAGATCCATCTAGTACTTTCTCAGAAATAGCGGTAACAAACTTTTACTTACAAAATCCAAGATGGCCACCTGTCGGCCATCTTGAATTCGAATCAGTCCAAAAAAGGTACAATGCACAACTAGGGACCAAGAAGAACCTGCATATGAAATTTGAGAAAGATCCATCCAGTACTTTTCCAGAAATAGTGGTAACAAGAATTGTTTACGGACGGAATAGATGGCGGGCTAAAAATAGGAGAGAGTTGAACAGATCAGATTTCACTCTTATGACTGTACCTGTCGTGCACGGAGCTCAGGATTCAGAAGATACTTTCTACTACTTAGTACAGTGCCAGCAAACTGCCTTAGCTGTGACTTATTGTCCAAGTAGTTTTCACTGAAGGAGGCCATTGTCACACCAACTGTGCTTAGCGGCGTCTGCATAGAGCTGCAAAACTGGAATGAAAGTATACAGTATTAAGTTGAGTTGCCAAGTGTTAGTAACAATCAAGTCATGATAAAATTTGATTAACAAATATTATGATTGTATTTCTCATTTTTGTTGTATAAAGTCTAAGAAATTTTACTTTTCTTATGCTAACTTTGAAAGTTTAACAGAAAACGACAATAATGTAGACACAGATTATACTTTTTGCTTCCTTATTTCATACACTGTTTGTGTTTGTGTACTTTATAGTGCTGATTTGCCAAAATTGGGTGGGACAAGAACCTGATAAACTAGTAGTATGATATTAAATTTGTCTTTTCCTGTTAGTGTGTCTATAAGTCACAGATTCCATTGCTGGTTTTTGCGTGACAAGAGAAAGAGGGCAATCCTTTTATTGACAATACTTGGCGCAAAATGACTTTGGTCCCTAGATTGATTGTTCACTCATAATTTTCGTGTTCTGACAGATGCTAAATTAATTTTCACTGATTGTGAGTAAGAAGTGAACAAACCTGAAAACCCATTGTCCTGCCATAAAAACATTCCTGGCTCAGCTTTTCCACTTGTTGTGTAAGCTCCTCTGCTATAGCGTCATCGATCATCTCCTCGTCCGCAAACAAACTCCCATCTTTACAGAAGTCCATGAGTTTATATGCATGCTCTAGGCACGCACGGAGTTGCCCCAGCGTCTCGACGTAAGCCTCCAACTCCGAACTATAGTGAGATGATCGGAAAAACATGGATTCTCGATTAACGTGAATATGGCGTACCAGCTGTAGAATGTGGAGGCAGCATTTGTGGATAATTTTGATGATGCTCCTAAATCCATTTGCTTGAACGTCTGGCGATAGATCGTACTCGGGCAAACGTGGAGCGATCAGCTCTACTGTCGGCTGAATACCTCGGTCAATGTGTTCGTGTAATAAACAAAATGCCGCATGAAATTTGGCGTGTGTATTACTTTTACCGTTTTGAAAATATGCTATATTACTAACGGCGAAAGATCGAAGGTCTTTAAACAATGCAGTGAACATTTTGAGTAAAAAATACGCGTTTTGTCAAAGTTCAAAGTCGACGTTTGTTTTCATGTCAGCCATTGCAGGAAGCCGCAGTAAATAATGCCGTCTGTCAAAATTTTGGAAATGAAATAAATTACATTTTTAAAAAAGAGTAGAGCAAATATCATCAAAATATTAAGACCTTTTCGGTTGAATGCAAAAATATTTTTTAAAATGTTACATGTTTTAAAAATTACAATTAGTGGTATTATCAACCAATCATCTTTGCGATTTTCATTTACATCGGAGAAAACGCAAAAAGGAAAACAAGAAGTAGCCAGTTTCGAGCTGACGACATGGACATTTGAAGAAAGGATTGTACGTATAATTATCATGTTTTCGTTAGTATGTCGTGTTTTACAGCACGCCATTACTCCAAAAGACTGTCTGACACGTTGAAGATAAATAGACATCAGCTACATCTACATATTTTCCGTGTCTTAAATGAGGTCGAATACCAATTTCCGAAGAAAAAAATGTCAGCGAAAGACTAGACTGACGAAAATAAATAGCTATATATATAGGTTCAACACATTGTTTTGTGTTTACGTGCTTCTCGGGACAAAATCTTAGGTAATAAAGAAACAGAATAAAATTTGGAGCAATAATATCGGTCTTTTATCATGAAAATAACAAATCGGATAAATCGTGTAAAAGCGAGTTATCAGCAGATCAAAATAAATATCATTGGTGCATTAGTTTCGGACCCTTTACTAATCGTATCTCAGTAGCAGTGCTTTGTCAAACAAAAACATGATTTGTACTGAAAAATATACATTCTATGAAATTTATTCAATTAAGTGATCAGTGAAACACCAGGATGCAAGGAAGCATGGCCTTTTCATATTCTTGACAAATTTTTATTCACATGATAGACAACAATAAACTGGCATTCATTTAAGGATGTATTGATGATCTGGGAGGATGTCTTCCATGTAAAAATGTGAATTAAGTATCCAAATTTACCACTGAAATAAATAATGTATATAATTTTGATAAATGGATTTAACCACAGTAACCAAAATCAACCAAATTCTAGGTCATATAGGTAGACAGTTAATGTATTACAGTTCAACAAAATGGCTGCACGAAATATATAGCGGACATGAAACAATGTTGGGTTATATATATATATATAAATATATATTCAATTTATCAGGTTGGACACAGTCCCTCATATGGGTATAATAGTCCTGTATTTTAAGGGATAATAATTACCGATTGAGAAATCCAGGGCTCTTGATCTGCCAGATTTGGGACCGATATTGGGCCCCATTCCCAATGCAAAATAGTAGTCCAATTTAGACCCCAAGTTTTCCCAATTCTAAGGAAAACGCTGCTATTTTTCCCAATTCTAAGGGCCCCAGTCCCAAAATGGGGAGTGAGAGCCCTGAAATCAGTTACTTGAATACAGGATTTATCTCAAGTTGAAACTGTAAAATATGTTTAAAGATTTGCAACAAAAAAAGATGTCATCTTTCTAACACGACCCTATAGCCATTGTGACGGTGTATATAGTGATATAAAAAAATGTTTATTTCTGTTATATAACTTTGTGTTACCCCTGACTTTGAACTGTTTTCCATTGACTACAGTGTATAGCCAGTGGCAGCATCTAGTGCAAATGTCAAAGGTGGACATGTTGTGAATTTTACAAAAGTAAGACAACTTTTTGTGTGTCGCATTGCTTATTGTTGCAAATGTTTAAAAGAACTTTATGTGTTAAGTTTCTATTTCGAATGACCCTCAGTTTGAGTAACTGATTACTCAAAGCGGTAACTATCCCTCAAATGCAAGACTAGTACCCATATGACAGGTTGTGCCCAACCTGTTTGCTTCACTATCAGAATCAAAATTTGAAAGAAATGCAATTTATATAAAACAAAGTGAATATACCTTGATCAGGTTGGGAACACTTCCATATATATAATGGTCCTACATTTGAGTGATAAATTCTGTTTTCATTTTAATAAATGTGTGACTGAAATGTTGGATAATTTGAAATAGGAAAATTTGAGGTTCTTTAAAACAGTTGCAGTAAAAAAAGATGTCATCTTTTGAATATGGCCCAACATTTATTTAGCCAATTGAATTTAAAATGAAAATTTTCAAAATATGATCACTTACTGTTCTGGATTTACTACTGTGTGTGGCATTGGGAGCAGTAAGTACATATATCATAGGTGTGGATTCACTTACTTGTATTCTCTTCTTAGCCATACTATAATTAAACAATGGAGGTGATGTGACTTTTACAACAAAACAAGATAACTAAATTATTCACATTTCGGGTCACCTGAGACGAAGTCTCATGGTGAGCTAATGAGATCACCTTTTATCCTTTTAACATTTTTGACTTCTCAAAAACCCCTGAACCAGTTTCAATGAAATTTTGCAGAAACCTTCCAGGCTTAAGTTGGACTAAATTAGTAACAACCACATGGTCTTGCATTTCCCGCAGGACAGGGAGTAAAGTTTACTCTAGTTTATATATAAAGGTTTTTGAGTATAATTTGTTTAATTTCCATGGGGGAATATTTCAAACTTGATTAGAATTATTGGCAAAGGATGACAACATATGGTATGCACATACTGATCCTGGCTGACCCTAACTTGGCTCAAATTTCAAAATTCTTCTTAACACCCTGATATGGTAGAATCACATGCTCTTTGATGCAGGAAATGTCAAAATGAGCTTTACAAAAATTGTAAATTTTACGAGACCCTATGAATTTCACAACCCTAGGGTCTCACATCTCACATTTGCCTCTGTGGAGGGGGTTAAGTTAACTATAGGTTTTATAATGAAAAAAGATATTTGGAGAATAAACTAGTTTATTTTTCATCAAAAATAACTTGGTAATAATCATAAAAAGTATATGATGACATGTGCGATGCTATGCATATATTGACATTGTGTGACCACCCCCCTCCCCCCAACCCCAACCCCCCAAGGGCTTAAAACGTCATTAAATTCTTGCTATCATTAATGTCAAAAATTCTTTTTTCTGACATTTCTTTTGTAAAATGTTGGAATGGTTCTTTGGCTGATAAAATTTTGTTAAGTTATTTTATCGTTACTCTTTAACTTTATAGATTATCTTTTATTTTATTAGGTATGACAGTGCTGGAGACACTGTTTTGGCAGACTTCAGTTTAAAGATGGCTGAAGTGGGAAGTGATGATACTGACAACACCAATGACAAACTGATTCCGAAAGAAAATGGTAGCTCCCCTGCCAGGGGAGACCACTCTCACAGCGAATCTGGCATTGACTGTGACCTTGCTTCCCCAGTGAAGCTGGGGTCTATTGTGATAGATAGTGTTGATGCAGACACTTCCCAGTGTGAAGGTAGGGAAAGGGAGGATGAGGGAACGGTAGAGGAGAATGAGCTTGAGGGCAACAGAGATAATCATCTTAGTCTGGGATTTATGAAAAAGGATGACAGTGGTATTGATATCAGTCGATCTCCCACTAGTGGTAAAGACAGTTCCATTCTGTCAGACAACAATGAGTCACTGAGTGATAGCGGAGCAGGTTCAAGGACTAATTCAGTCAGTGAGGCATCTATATCAAAAGAGTGTACACAACAGAAACTGTCAAAAGGTGGAGCCGAGACTTTTACTACAGAAATTGAAAACATGGACACTGACGAAAATAATCAAGCAAGTGCAGTAAAAGTCTCCAGCACTTCAGTGTCGTGTTCTGAAAATGATGAAAAGGACAGTGATGACAGTATAGATGATTCAGGACAGTCAAGTAGAGTTAGAAAGTTGCGTGAATCAATACGACGCAGGCTCCGTGACAAACGTCGAAGACACTTTCTCTTGGATAGCGATGACACAGACAGTGACAATGATGATCATTCATCAGGATCTCCATCAAATCAAGAGAATGTGAAAACTAATGATGATTCTGATGAGGGTAATTCAGATGAAGAAGATGATGATGAAGATGATGATGACGATGATGATGATGAACACTCAAGTGTAAAAAAGGCAAAATCTTCTAATGATAAGCCTGCGAAATCAGACACTGACTCAGATGAAGATGAAATGGTAGACATGAGTAAAAAACCAAAGCAAATTTGGCGGGCACTATTTGACTGTCGCGATAGAGAGTATGGATTCAATAGCCGTGTGCCCCCTGCCAGCTTTAGAGAGAAAGTTCAAGGCAGTCTACAGATGGTACAGAGGTTTAATCTCCAATACAAAATGGAATACCATGAAGGCTGTGTAAATGCTCTCCACTTTAACAGAATAGGTAAGAGAAAAAAAATCCAGTGGGTTTTTAGCTGACCTAGTTCAGGTTTTTTTTTTCTTGCAATTGCCTTTTGTCGGGCATCGTCTGTCTTGCATCATAAACAATTTACATTTTCAACTTCTTCCCAATAACCAAAAGGCTAAAGATTAGGGCATTAGATCAGTAGTATGTTTGGATGTTGTTTAATTGAATGACCTTGACCGACCTTCAAGGTCACAAAACCTAAGTGGACCAGGGTCATGATATTGGGCCAGTAGCATGCTGAAATAAATGGATACTAAGAGTTTGTTAAAATGAATGACCTTGACCTACTCTCAAGATTACAAGGGGTCAAATGTGTTTTGACTCATTTAACAACATATTCTCAATAACCAAATGACCCAAGGTCAAGGGCTGGGATGAATCACTACCAAAGTTGTTTATATGAATGACTTTGACCTTCATTCAAGGTCTTGGGTCAAATATAATTAACTACAACAACGGACAGTGTAATCACTACCAAAGTTGTTTATATGAATGACTTTGTCCTTCATTCAAGGTCATGGGTCAGATATAATTAACTACAACAACAGACAGTGTAATCGCTACCAAAGTTGTTTATATGAATGACTTTGACCTTCACACAAGGTCTTGGGTCAAATATAATTAACTACAACAACAGACAGTGTAATCACTACCAAAGTTGTTTATATGAATGACTTTGACCTTCATTCAAGGTCATGGGTCAAATATAATTAACTACAACAATGGACAGTGTAATCAGTTCCATTTACCAGTAATTGAAAATTAAGCCTTCAAACTTAGAAGCAATAAAAACTTTGTAAGTATGCATATATCAGTTCTGTTCCATCTGCCCCAATGCTGGGACCCAATGGGAAGGTTCTAAAACTGTCAAAAGACCTAGGCCTGAAGACCTTGGGTGGCTGTTAAGACCCATGGGCCTTTTGTTTCCCCTGAAAATCCGCTCTTGCTAGACCAATCAAATTACTTCGCTTGTATTTTAAAATTGGCCATGACATGTTTCAGGAGTGTAGAGAGGGTAAATAATCGTTACTCCTAGAGAATCGAGAATGGTTCTAAGGGTGCAGAAGGAGAAAGTGATTGTAATCCCTGTTAACATCTTGTTATTTTTTCGTAGTTTTGAAAAACTTCTAAAAACTTAACATTATCTATATTGAAGTATGCTTCATATTGAAATTAACCCTTTCGGTGCCAATTATCTCTTACAATGTACAGCTCAGCGCCAATTATCTCTTACAATGTACAGCTAAGTGCCAATTATCTCTAAGCGCCAATTATCTCTTACAATGTACAGCTCAGCGCCAAACATTTTCCGGAAATATCCGAAAACAATGGCAGCATTACTGAAACCAGCATATCTTGGCTAATGATAGAGATATAAAAATTGTCAACCAAAGTTGCCTACGGCGGCCTGTCTGCATGTCGACTTAGTCACCTACAGCGGCCTGTCTGCATGTCGACTTTAGTCACCTACGGCGGCCTGTCTGCATGTCGACTAGTTGCCTACAGCAGCCTGCCTGCATGTCAACTTTAGTCGCCTACAGCGCCGAAAGGGTTAAATTTAATGCTGTAATGTTATGAATCATAGATATCTTAAGAAGGGTCATTCAAATCTAATTTCTCAGTCTGAAAGTGTGGTTGTTGAAAAAAATACATGTAATTGGTAGATTGTTTTTATACTGTTCACATTTCATTTGATATTTCAAGTCATGTAATCGCTGCAGTTTTTCGATCACTGTTGATCTGAAATGAAATCAGTATTTTAGATAATGACTGAAATGATTTGTAGGAACACTACTTGCCAGTGGATCTGATGATTTAAACATTGTTCTGTGGAATTGGATAAGAAATCGCCCTGCTCTTGTTTATGACAGTGGTCACCGTAGCAATGTCTTTCAGGTAATTATATTTGTACAAATATAAAAACATACTTGTATACTTATAATTTATATTGTCTATGAAGACTTAACAATGTACTATAGTTTTTACTCTTTTATGATCATGATTGTTTAAAATCATCATTTAAGTATCACTATAAAGTGTTAGTCCAGCAATAAGCCAAATTCTTGGTGTTAAGCCACGTTCGCCTTTTTCTAATTCCTGTTAAGAGGCATTGTCTACTTCTTTTCTTAATGGAACTGTACATATAACGTATACAGTTGAAACTTGTCATCTAAAACTCGCATGAGTGGAAATTCCATTTTGGTCAAAATAATTTTCAAGTCCCGATTTCTTCCCTTCTATATCTTTGTAATTTTAGTTCAGATGTCTCGAATTTCATTGAGTCAAAGTGATTTTTCAGTCCCTTCAATTGTAAAAGCAAGGGAAAAGTCATTCATTGTCCTGAAATTAATTTTTATCAAGACATTGGCACATCTTATGATAAAATCAGTCAATACATACACAGAGTAGAAAGTCACTTGTGCATAACACATGGCTAATTATGGCGTATCGGTCCATCGTACACACAACTCCTGGCCCCACTTGTATAAAACATCTCAACTTGAGATTTCCTCAAGTCGAGATTTTCCGCAGCTGATATCTCCTTGAAAATATCTTGTATGAAAATTCCTCAAGGAATTTCAGGACATCCTAGCCGATGACTTCCTCCTATTCCTTGAGAAAATTTTATACAAGCCGTTTTTGAGGAGATATCAGCTGAGGAAAATCTCGACTTGAGGAAATCTCAAGTTGAGATGTTTTATACAAGTGGGGCCTGGTCTCTGGCGATTATTTACCAGTTTAATTCTCCAATTATTGGTTGGCTTCTTAATTAGTGTCACTATCATGTAGCAGTGACTTACCTGTACATTGAATAGGTTTACACAAAGCATGAAAATATTTACCTTTGTTGTGTGCATCTTTAGGAACGATAAAAATGACACCGTCAAACCAGTACAAACTTTTTGATGAAATCTGATCCCCACAATTCTGAGTGAAACCAATTTTGAGCTTGTTTACTAAAGGACTGTGATTTGTCACTTTGTCAGATTTATTGGTGTTTGGACAATGAAGTCCTGAAGGTAGTTTTTCATATGTTTTATATATTTGATTGAAAACATTTAATATATATTGTTTTTCTGTAGGCCAAGTTTATGCCATTTAGTGGTGACTGTCATGTTGTGAGTTGTGCCAGAGACGGACAAGTCAGACTCGCCGAGCTGTCACTTACTGGTGTGTGCAAACAGACAAAGAAACTAGCACAGCACAAAGGTGGAGCTCACAAGGCAAGATATCTTATACAAATATTTATCAGTAGCATTTTCTGTTAAAATTTGATAGTTAAAATAGTTCATTTGATATCTTGCTTGCAAATTAAACACAGTCTGCTGAATGCTCTATGATTTTGAATATTGGTTAGCAAAAGCATTTGATAGTGAAGGAGACAATCTGGATACATTTGATGTAGGAGACAAGCTGGTTGTCTCTTTATCACATTGCATTCTGATCAGCTGATATGTACATATGTGTCAAGTGTTATAAACATCTGCAATCTAATCTAATGAACAAAAATACCATCCATGGCTATACCAAGAAACTGTACTGCTACCCTATGATGATTGTAACTGCTGACAGTTCAGTGAAAAGAAAAAAAATCAAAATGTTTTCTCGAACATGGCATTCTGGGATTGGATGTGCGGTGCAGTGACTTGTGCTGAAACAGTTACTTGTGAGCATGTTAACATTCCTATCAGATGCCGCAACGATCATTATCCTGTACTGCGCATTAAATTCCTGATCCTGCAGTAAATACCATATATATAAGCATGTAAATATATCAATATTAGTGGTGTATGTAGCAGTAAAATTGAATGACCACTGTTTAAAAACATTCAGTCTGTACTCTTACTTGGGGACTTTGCTTTAATTATTGTGTGATTTTCAATCTAATGCACATCAAAAGTTTGACAATGCCATGCTTTTGTTTCAAAACTGTATACTTTCTTCAGAGCTTTCGTTGCCGTAGTTACAATGCAGTAGTTTCAGTTATGCCATTTACGATGACTAATTGTGTTTCTTATTAGCTACAACAACTCAAGTGTAACACTATTTTTCACATTTAATGAATGATTAGCTGATAAACACTGATTTTTGATCAGCTACATCTTAAATATAAACAAGCTTTCGTCAGAAGTGTAACTGACTGCTCGTGCAACACAATATCCTGCTAACATGTATTACCTAGAATGTATCCAGTACATAATGACTCGTCATCAATACGATGTCCAGCTGTGAATTTTCACACCTGTCATATATTTATAATTCCATACACCCAGGTTGAAACACTGGCCATATTTTATCACCTACACCCAGGTGTCACTCGACACCCACAGGACGTTTGAGTACCACAACACTTGAGGCATACTGTAAATAGCCTTTGTCATTACGTTTGATGTAAGGGGAGATAATTTGGTTGTTTCTGGTCATGACATTTGAAATAAGGGAAGTAATTCTGGTATTTGATTGTTGATTTTCATTTCAATGTAGCTTGCGCTGGAGCTCGACTCTCCCCACGTTTTCCTGAGTTGTGGTGAGGATGCAATTGTGTATGAAATAGACCTGAGAGAGGACAAGTCTAACAAGTAGGTGTAAATGAGTGATGTTAAGTGTCTTAAAATTAAAAAGGATATTGTATATTGTAATATATGTTTATCAGAATCACCATCTGTCCAGAATACTGTCACATGTATCTTAAAAAAAGTGACAAGCAAACTTTGTATACTTCATCCTTATGATGTAAAGTTGTGCACTTTTGCTTTTCAGATATTTTCAACAAAATTTGTTTTAGTTATGTCATTGTTTGTAGATATTCTGTATGGAATATTGTGTCAAGTAGATTTGTTAAGGTACTGATTCAGAAGCAATATTTCTCAACCATTGTACACAGTAGTAGATTCCGCATATCAAAGGAAGTAGCTTAAGTTTGTATCCAGTAGCAGATTACAGGGTTCCAATATCAACAGAAAGGGCTTATGTTTTTTCCTAGTGTAATGTAACAGACAGTAACAGATTACTGGGTTCCAATATCAACAGAGGAGGCTTATATTTGTACCAAGTGTAATGTAACAGACAGTAACAGATTACTGGGTTCAAATATCAACATAAGGGGCTTATATTTGTACCAAGTGTAATGTAACAGACAGTAACAGATTACTGGGTTCAAATATCAACATAAGGGGCTTATATTTGTACCAAGTGTAATGTAACAGACAGTTACAGATTACTGGGTTCAAATATCAACATAAGGGGCTTATATTTGTACCAAGTGTAATGTAACAGACAGTAACAGATTACTGGGTTCAAATATCAACATAAGGGGCTTATATTTGTACCAAGTGTAATGTAACAGACAGTAACAGATTACTGGGTTCAAATATCAACATAAGGGGCTTATATTTGTACCAAGTGTAATGTAACAGACAGTAACAGATTACTGGGTTCAAATATCAACATAAGGGGCTTATATTTGTACCAAGTGTAATGTAACAGACAGTAACAGATTACTGGGTTCAAATATCAACAGAAGGGGCTTATATTTGTACCAAATGTAATGTAACAGACAGTAACAGATTACTGGGTTCAAATATCAACATAAGGGGCTTATATTTGTACCAAGTGTAATGTAACAGACAGTAACAGATTACTGGGTTCAAATATCAACAGAAGGGGCTTATATTTGTACCAAGTAACAGTTCCACATGTAGGAATGTAGTCTGTACTTTCATTAAGAATTACAGTAAAACTCATGTGTGTCATGTACACTTGAATCAAATACATTGGATGAGTTGAATGTTTTGTTTGATCCTGATTTTTTCTCTTCTTTATTTTAGTAAATTAAACATGAATGATTTGAACCATGTTGAGTCTAATACTGCATTTGTTTCAAATATATTTTGTGGCCCAGCCTTAATTCTACCAAAATCTCATTTTTTGTGTCAAACATTCAGGCATCACCTTGTCTCAGGTTAAAATTTTCTAGATTCACATCGCTGCCGTAAACAAAAACAAAAAACAAGCTACTGGCGCGGTAGATTAATAAACATATTGGTTTGTCAAAGACACGTTTGTTTTTTTATTTGAAAGGCATTTACTGGATATACATATACATATACAATGTGCAAGTTTAATTTTATTCCGTCTAATGATTACCTCATGAGGGTTCTGTATGTGTAAAGTACACTTCAGTGACGTTAATGCAGCCTTCACCTTTTCATAACCCAGCTTAGTGCTGTAGGTGTTATATCAATGTAGAGCGTTCATGAGTACATATCTATTGAGCTTTCATTTTAAAATATTGTTGGCGGAACTTGTTACTTTTAAGGATAAAAATGTGAGTACAGTATTTGTATTACTTTAGGTATCAATGTCACTAAGTTATGTGTATGAGATGGATGTGTATACACGTGTGTGCTGCAATATCAATGACAAGTGTTTCACAATACATTTTTTGTTTTATATTAGTACTTATAACTGTTTGTTTAGATAAAAGATATTGTTAGTTGTATAAAATTACAAAATACGTTTATTTAGTTGTTACTCATTCATTACTGTCAGACCATGCTATGAGACGCAGATCTGGTAAACAACTAATGAAAATAGGGTCAACCTTTAATGCAAAATGTCTCCGTTCATAGCAACATGGCTAAGTCAAACCATCAAATAAGTCAAATATTTCATTCGGTCCTGTCAACTTTGACTTATCCATGTTTATTATGAATTTGAGAATAGTTGGGTGAGTCATAAGAAAACAACTGTTTGACATTTTTTTAGGCTAGTCCTCACAAAGGAAGGGGAGAAAAAAGTGCCTCTCTACTCAATCCACTCCAATCCAGCAAACTCCATGGAGTTCTGTGTAGGAGGTCGCGATCACTTCATCAGGTAACTGTGTACCCACACCCAGTAAGTCCTCCCAACGCCATCCCAGCTACCCACACCCAGTAAGTCCCCCCAACACCATCCCATCTACCCACACCCAGTAAGTCCCCCCAACACCATCCCAGCTACCCACACCCAGTAAGTCCCCCCAACACCATCCCAGCTAAATTAGTAGAGTTTTTTGTAGTTCTTGACCTCAAGGTCAGGTTACTTTGTACCCACACCCACTAAGTCCTCCCAACACCATCCCAGCTAACTTAGTAGAGTTCTTTGAAGGTCTTGACCTCTAAATCAAGTAATTATGTCCCAACATCCACTAAGTCCTCCCCACACCATCCCAGCTGAATAAGTAGAGATATGTTTAGGTCTTGACTTCTAAATCACATAATTATGTACCCACACATACCAAGTCCACCCAAAACCATCCTTGCAAACTTGAATTCTGTGTAGGTCTGTGTTGGCCAGATTGATTACGCCATCAGTCGAAGACAGTCACCTGTTGTAATAAAGTGTTGTTGTGTTGATTTATGACTACTTCTGATGTTGATGATAAACTGTAGTTTGTGTTTGTTACAGAATCTACGACAAGAGAAAAATCAATAGTGTAAGTAGCCATTTTGTAACAACAGATTGGTTTCTGTATATCACAGATTTTAAAGATTAATCGATGTGCTGGAAGCCAAAGTTCATGATCCTTGTCGTCGGGTAGACATTGTATTTTGATACTTCATTTCTTTAGGATATTAATGCGTAATGTATTTTGATACTTCATTTCTTCAGGATATTAATGCGTATTGTATTTTGATACTTCATTTCTTCAGGATATTAATGCGTAATGTATTTTGATACTTCATTTCTTCAGGACTTTCTGATATTAATGCGTAACAGCAGTAGGGTTTATAAAAACGGGTTTTGTGGCTGCTTCTGCATATTTCTTGACAGAACTGTAATCAGTCTATATTTAAGGGATGTATTTGTCAAGCATTGTATCTTAAAAAGAAAATGTAATTAATTTGATGTGACTCACTAGTAACCTTGTAATTTGTTTTTCCTGTCAGCTCACTGTTTTATGCTTCAGAATGAAGATGATGGCCTACTTAAGAAGTTCTGTCCTCATCATTTGGTGAGCTCTCACATAAATTATCTAATGTTCTTAGTTCACTTGGTCCGAAAGACAGGTGAGCTTATGCTATCACCTGTTGAACACCGTCCATCCATCTGTCAACTTTTACCACTGGTGATGAACGACCGAGTGGGTTTTGGTTGGAAGTATCCTAGGGTGATGGAGAACCACTTTTATATGATGTTTGATTTATGCCCCCAAAGGGGAATTTGGCAAATTCTTTAAAATCTTTCTGCTTTTAGGAATAATTAAATTTTGTCCAAATGTCTAAAGCATCCTTGGTTGAAAGGATTTCTTTTTGGTGAAAACAATATATATGACATCACTGCCCAAATAACCCTCCCTAGGACAGAGGGAAATATTTTCTAGAAAATTTCAGCATACCGGACCAGATGGGCAATACAGGCCTAATAGACCACTTGTTGAGACATGAAGCATGTAACATAAACTACATGATAGGGTGTTACTTCAAATTTTTCAGTTTTGATGTTTTAGTTCGAAAATACTGATACTGGTACAGTTCAGAAATACATCAATTCACCATCGATGAATGAAATTTGTGACTAATTCCTTGCCTATAATTTTACAAGAACTATACATTTTGTATGTGCCTAATGAATCTGTAGATGGTTGATGTCATAATTATTGGAATTAAAAAAAAAATTATGTGTGATTCTGATAATTCAGCAAAATGAATTTTATTAATAGAAATTCATGGACAGTTTTTTTTTGTGTTTTTTTTCTCTCTAAATAAAGGACATTGTTTGCCATGTATATGGTTATATTGAGCCCTGCAGACTGGCCCATTGATTAATTAGATGTATGTGTACAACTTATCAAACTTTACTTACTTATTTCAAAGGAATGAGGTGTATTTGATGATAGAGCAGATGTATATTCCACTCAACTTCCAATTAACTTTCTTAATCCTAAGTAACAGTTATTTATGTAGTAGTAATTATGATGCCAATATTTTGACTGTGGTGTTCATTAGTGATATATACATCATTAATTAAGCAGAGTTACAATAAAAGGTAGTGGAAGAACACAATGGAAATGTTAATGTCCTGAATGTGATGATGATATTAATCTCCTAATTTCTGTGTTGTAGGTCAGCAGCAGTGTAAAAGCCAATGTTACATGTGCTGTATACAACTACAATGGAACAGGTAGGAACTTCTGGGGAACATCTGTTGAATTATTGTTACGTGGACAATAGTGGTAATATCTTTACCATGTAACATGTGTTGTTTATACATAGAACAGGTAAGACCATACGGGGAACATCTGTTGAGTCAGTGTTACCTGTACAATATTGATAAAATGTTTACCATGTAACATGTGCTGTTTATACACAGAACAGGTAGGACTTTACGGGGAACATCTGTTGAGTTATTTGTACAATATTGATAGAATGTTTACCATGTAACATGTGCTGTTTATAAACAGAACAGGTAGGACCTTACGGGGAACATCTGTTGAGTTAGTGTTATTTGCACAATAGACATTGATATGTAGGATTTGAAAATTGTGTTGTAACTCTAGGGATATTTATGTGTTTAAGATTAAATTGAACAAAGATCGTATGAGGAGGAGGTTATCAGTGTACCGTGATTTTGTACCAGTTGACAGGAATCGTAAGATCATATATGTTAAAAATATCTGTGTATTGTAATTTTGTTTGTGTTGACAGATGTTTTAGGATTTTATATTGATGAGGATATCTGAGTAATCAAAATTTTGTTTGTGTTGACAGAAATTGTAGGATCCTATAATGATGAGGATATCTACCTGTTTAATAACTCCCATTCCAGCGGTGCTGAACACATACATAGGTACAAAGGGCACCGTAACAATGCCACAGGTAAACATTTTTCACTCCGAACCCCTATGTAAAGCTTATCAATTCTGATGACACAGAGTTAATATACAAGAGGAAATAGATTGTTAATTTGTTAACTTTGAATGCCAATTTTGTATATGTGAAGATATTTGTGAGATTGACACATTGAACACCAGGTGAGCAATGCCGTCCCATTGGGCCTCTTATTATGAAATAGTCTGTTATTTTCAAGGTCTCAAATAGCGAAAAATAAAACCCTGAAATTCAACATCCTTTACAGTATAAAGGAAAAAATGATGAAGTACTCAAAGGCAGATGCTTCAATTAGGATATTTTTTAATAGACTTTCACTAAATAATTTACATATAGAGGTTGATTGTTATTATCATCAATGAATTTGATTGTTTTGATGTTATTGGTTATAGTTACCTGACTAGTGTGAATATGTTTTGAAGTTATTGGTTATAGTTACCTGATTAGTGTGAATATGTTTTAAAGTTATTGGCTATAGTTACCTGATTAGTGTGAATATGTTTTGAAGTTATTGGTTATAGTTACCCGATTAGTGTGAATATGTTTTGAAGTTATTGGCTATAGTTACCCGATTAGTGTGAATATGTTTTGAAGTTATTGGCTATAGTTACCTGATTAGTGTGAATATGTTTTGAAGTTATTGGCTATAGTTACCTGATTAGTGTGAATATGTTTTGAAGTTATTGGGTATAGTTACCTGATTAGTGTGAATATGTTTTGAAGTTATTGGTTATAGTTACCTGATTAGTGTGAATATGTTTTGAAGTTATTGGCTATAGTTACCTGATTAGTGTGAATATGTTTTGAAGTTATTGGCTATAGTTGCCTGATTAGTGTGAATATGTTTTGAAGTTATTGGCTATAGTTACCTGATTAGTGTGAATATGTTTTGAAGTTATTGGCTATAGTTACCTGATTAGTGTGAATATGTTTTGAAGTTATTGGCTATAGTTACCTGATTTGTGTGAATATTTCTTTATCATGAGGCACACTTGCATCCCAGATGATATTAATTGGTTTCTCTTATAAATGATAATATTGCAGTGAAAGGTATCAACTTTTATGGGCCACGAAGCGAGTTTATCGTCAGTGGCAGTGATTGTGGCCATATCTTCCTCTGGGACAAGGAGTCCGAACAAATTGTCCAGTTCATGGAGGGTGATGATGGTGGAGTGGTAAGTCCTGACATTAGATACCATGTCCAGATTGCCTGCTTCATGAAATGGATGATTGTTTGAAGAAAAAAATATTGTGAAAGAATCTGTGCCACAATATCTATGTAGATAGTTTGAAAAATTCTTAATGGTATCATCAAGTTAAAAATAGAAAAATTCATGTCATAGCCACAGAACAAACTTTATTCACTTTAAAACATTGGCAACCCTGTGATAAGTAGGCTCCTAGTTTAATGGATCAACATTGTCAACCCTGTGATGGATAGGCCCCTAGTTTAATGCATCAACATTGTTAACCCCTGTGATGGGTAGGCTCCTAGTTTAATGGATCAACATTGTTAACCCTGTGAGAGGTAGGCCCCTAGTTTAATGGATTGACATTGTCAACCCCGTGATAAGTAGGCTCCTAGTTTAATGGATCAACATTGTTAACCCTGTGATAAGTAGGCTCCTAGTTTAATGGATCAACATTGTTAACCCTGTGAGAGGTAGGCCCCTAGTTTAATGGATCAACATTGTCAACCCTGTGAGAGGTAGGCCCCTAGTTTAATGGATCAACATTGTCAACCCTGCGATAAGTAGGCTCCTAGTTTAATGGATCAACATTGTTAACCCTCTGAGAGGTAGGCCCCTAGTTTAATGGATCAACATTGTTAACCCTGTGAGAGGTAGGCCCCTAGTTTAATGGATTGACATTGTCAACCCTGTGAGAGGTAGGCCCCTAGTTTAATGGATCAACATTGTCAACCCCGTGATAAGTAGGCTCCTAGTTTAATGGATCAACATTGTTAACCCTGTGAGAGGTAGGCCCCTAGTTTAATGGATCAACATTGTCAACCCCGTGTTAATTAGGCTGATAGTTTTATTGATCATCTTTGTTAAGACTGTGAGAGGTAGGCCCCTAGTTTAATGGATCGACATTGTTAACCCGTGAGAGGTAGGCACCTAGTTTAATGGATCAACATTGTCAACCCCTGTGAGAGGTAGGCCCCTAGTTTAATGGATTGACATTGTCAACCCTGTGAGAGGTAGGCCCCTAGTTTAATGGATCAACATTGTCAACCCCGTGATAAGTAGGCTCCTAGTTTAATGGATCAACATTGTTAACCCTGTGAGAGGTAGGCCCCTAGTTTAATGGATCAACATTGTCAACCCTGCGATAAGTAGGCTCCTAGTTTAATGGATCAACATTGTTAACCCTGTGAGAGGTAGGCCCCTAGTTTAATGGATCAACATTGTTAACCCTGTGATAAGTAGGCTCCTAGTTTAATAGATTGACATTGTCAACCCTGTGAGAGATAGGCCCCTAGTTTGATGAATTGACATTGTCAACCCCTGTGAGAGATAGGCCCCTAGTTTAATGCATCAACATTTTCAACCCCTGTGAGAGGTAGGCCCCTAGTTTAATGGATCAACATTTTCAACCCCTGTGAAAGGTAGGCCCCTAGTTTAATGGATTGACATTGTCAACCCTGTGATAAGTAGGCCCCTAGTTTAATGGATCAACATTTTCAACCCCTGTGAGAGGTAGGCCCATAGTTAAATGGATTGACATTTTCAACCCCTGTGAGAGGTAGGCCCCTAGTTTAATGTATCGACATTGTTAACCCGTGAGAGGTAGACACCTAGTTAAATGCATCAACATTTTCAACCCCTGTGAGAGGTAGGCCCCTAGTTTAATGTATCAACATTGTTAACCCTTGAGAGGTAGGCCCCTAGTTTAATGGATCGACATTGTTAACCCCTGTGAGGGATAAGCCCTAGTTTAATGCATCAACATTTTCAACCCCTGTGAGAGGTAGGCCCCTAGTTTAATGGATAGGCCCCTAGTTTAATTGATCAACATTGTCTACCCTTTGATAAATAGGCCCCTAGTTTAATGGATCAACATTGTCAACCCTGTGAGAGGTAGGCCCCTAGATTAATGGATCAACATTGTTGACCCCTGTGATAAGTAGGCCCCTAGTTTAATGGATTATTAATGATTCTTACCATCATTATTCAGATCAATGTCCTTGAGCCCCACCCATTTGCACCAGTTCTTGCCACCAGTGGACTTGACCATGATGTCAAGGTTTGGGCACCAACTGCCGAAGAACCAACACAGCTTGAAGAGCTCAGGAAGGTAAGGAAGTGGTGATCACAGCTATACAAAGCTCTGTGGTTATTTAATTGTAAATCTTTCATATCCACATCACATCTATCACAAAGTCAGGTGTATTAGTGTGGGCTAATTACCAGATCAGTCAATAAAGTATGTAACTTTGATGAGGGTTTTATCTGATGATTGAAATTCTGATTTATTTGACTTATTTATTTAAGAAAACATCTGATTGGTCCATGAAAATCATTTCTGACATGATAAACTGTTTAAAAATTTCAAAATTTTGAAGGGTTATCACCTAATTGTTGTATACAAAATGTAGAAATCCATTGTTAAACTCTTAAACAAATACTAGGAAGTTTGTGTGTAAAACGCTGAAAAGGTCTTTGTCTTTACTAGTGTTTAGATTGATAATGTGTATAACGACTTAAATGGAGAATTTCATTATTTTGAATGTATGGAATTTTCATTTAAATGTTTCACAAAATTATGTTTGAAAAATCTGATGTCAAGTCTTTATTTCTTTCACATGAAAGATGTATAAAGGTATTTGCATGAAGAAGTATTTTTTTCTTAATATGGTTTTCCTACTATTAAGAATCTTAATTTTAGACAATGAAGAAGAACCGTAAGGAGAGAGAGGAAGAGATGGTGAATGAACCAGACATGATAGATGGACAGATGCTCTGGTACATAATGCATCACATTCGGCGAGCTCAGAGACGAGTAAGTCATGCAATAGTATATACCTAAAACTGAAATAAAATCATACATCACCTCTGGTTACCTTAGAGATGTAGTTGTACGTCTGAAAAAACACCTGACATATCAGGTGAGATCAAAATAAATCCGAACTCTAGTGATTGTAAATATACAGGCAGAAATTATCAAGCATATCATCTGGCATGGACAAAGACCAACCTGTCATATCAATCGTATACCAACTCCAGGGCTTTCACACCCCATTTTGGGACTTGGGCAGGGGCCCTTAGAATTAGGAAAAATAGCAGTGTTTTCCTTAAAATTGGGAAAACTTGGGGTCTAAATTGTGAAAAAAAGATACTATTTTGCATTGGGAATTCGGCCCCAAATCTGGCAGATCGAGAACCCTGAACACCCACAAATCATCATCATCCTTCACATCTTGCTTGGTTAGAAGTAAATCCTTAACATACAATCAAGAAAAGTAGAAATTCAAACCTATGACAGGACAACATATTTTTTGTTCTGAGTTTCTGACAAGCTTCAATATTAAGATTAAGTTTCTTGTCAGAAATATAATTATCATAAGGAATGGTTTCATTTCAGAATTGTTCAGTTGTACAACTATATTCAGAATCTCTGGTTTGCTAGGGTTACACTCAAGCAACAGATTTCTCATTAGTTTGTACGAAAATTCATAATGGTAATTAATGCATGAAATACAACAATTTTTTGTTGTTTCCTTGGTAAATACAAGCTGCAACATGTTACACTGCTGAAAAAAGCATCCCTTTACCTTGGTTAGTTGAGCCTTGTAAATCAAAGGTCCTGGTCCTAAAGAGGCATTTAAATGAAAAAATAATCTCTGTTAGAATATTAAAAGTCATTTGACATTGTGATTTGTTTGGAGTTTAAGAACAAAACTGATGTCCAGAATGCGATGTTTTTTGTTAGGCTGATCAGGATGGTACAGCTGGCGATCAGGCATCAAACTCCAGTGATAACAGCGAGTATGATACAGAGGACTCGGAGGAGAATGCCCCTTACAGAATGTCATGTAACCCCTCTTAAACAGTCTACAGATGTCACAGCCATGCAAGATATAAACAGTTAACGGTTAGGTGACAATCAGAATGCTGTTCTGGAATTTCTCAAAACAATATTCTCAAATGGCTGACAGCTTTTGCCATAAAATCTTTGTCAAACTTCATTTTGAAATTAGAAGATTGGAAAATTGCATATTTTTTTATATAAAAGACCTATATTTTCTTCTTGGCATTGTAGAAATATGACACATCAATTTGAATAAGAAAAATTTGTGGATTAGTTACCGTAAATCCTTAGAATTTCAAGAATACTTGTTTTTCGCAAACTCCACACATATTCGTAAATACATTATTGTGCGAATGCTGACCTGAAACTGAATTTAAATTCACAAATGATGGGCTACTAGAGATCAGGACTCTTCAAGACTCAGATGTCGGTAACCAAATCAACATTTAATGCTATCCAGAGTTATTTTGTACAAACAATTGGGAAGGATTTGAATTTGTGATTGGCTCTTCTCGCATATTAACACAAAAATAAATCAAAGATGTAAGTGGTTTACAAAATGTACGATCGATGTGCAGATATTTATTATGGTATAATTCTAGTTGGTATGATACATAGGTACACGTAAGCTTACATTTTTAAGTGATAAATGAACAGTTCAGCTACAGAAAAGTAGCAAAGAAATTCTCTACAATACAATGCTGTTAATGGTGATATTTAATCCATTTCCTTCAAGAATTAGGAATTTATAGTCAATCTTTAATGAAAGGCATACATTTTCGCAAACATTACAGGGTTCTAATCAGTGAAATAAATTTTTAAAAAAATGTTGGCTGGGTAGAAGCATTAAATGTTGTTTGTAAGGATAGACTCAACAAGAACATAAATAGTAACAATCAGGTGAAAGAACGGAATGTTTTTGTTACAATACAACTTACCTTGAAGATAAAAAGTAATGAATAAGAATTTAGGTGAAAGAAATGTTTTTATAGTTAATTGACTTTTATGAAATTTTCTACCCTGGAAAGGGCACATTGGACTTACATCATGAAAGATGAATATCTCATGGTATACAGTAATTGAAAACTTTCAACTATCTGAAAATTTACGAGTACATGTGTAGAGATTTGTTTTCAGTCTGTTCGTTGACATTTGCCTTATACCTGTGAATGTCACCATTCTGTGTTCATAGGCTGTTTCAAATACCAATTACTGTAACTCATGAAAAATATCTTCATAAATGCAGAACTGTTGGAAATCACCACAAGAAATACATACTGTCCATTGACTTTTATCTCTGTACTTCATTGATCTTTAATTTCACAGGTCTAAAATTCCATTTGTCCCAGCCTTAGCTACTCTGTGAGAACTTCTTTACCCAATCAATTGCAGTATTTGTTTTAAATGGACCTACAGAGCCAACACATAACCTTTAATCTCAATATTGTTGAGATTGGCTTTGTAAACAGACTTTGATATAGCATAGAGTTGAACCTTATCATCTCGAAGTTTAGGGAATCATAGGAAACTACGGGTTATTGGAGTAATCAGTTTAAAAGAGTTTGAATGTTTAGCATGAAATTTTCCAAGGACCAGCGGAGTACTTGGAATTAATCAAGGTTGTTGAGTTATGGATAACAAGGTTTGACTGAAGCGGATGGGTCCATTACCTGCTTTATTACCAGATAATTGCAGTAATTCTCATTGTTTTATATCTGGTTATAAACACAGAACTGATTCTGATCTCTCTGGTCCATCGATAATGACTACAGGATCACAACGTCAAATTTCACAGAATTTGCAGACAAAGATCTCCATGATGCAGATATTCAGAGTGTGAACAAGCTTTCTGGATAAACATGTATCTTATTAAACTACATGGCTTTATGTTACATTAAAGAACTGTTTCCAAGTTTATGACACTTTTCTATGTGTGTCAGTTCTAGAATTATATATCTTAAAACTTGTTGGAGAATACATATCTGATACAACTTGTATATTTGTATACATCATGTGACAAATGGCCATATTTATTGGGCAATAAGTCCATGTGTGGTAATAAGCCCACACACATCTATCGTTTGTGCTGCATGAAGCCCTCGGAGCCTCACGAGCTCTTGTTTGATGCTCTGTATCAGTGGTGGTTTGTGTTTCACAGGAAGCTAAGAAACAGATCTCTGCTGTTGGGGTTGTGTCATGTGTGTCTTAAACCCAAATTGCTGTGGACAACATGCTATCAGCTTCCCTTATTGTGTTCAGTGCGGTAGTCAGCACTACAGTAAACGTGGATTGCTACTGAAACTACAATAAATGTGGATTACTTATATTAAGACGCACTGGTATATTGTTGTTTTAATAGGGTAGATTACAACATTATCAATCGATTTCAAAGAAAAAGAATTAAATGAGATCACTAGAAATGGTCACATTGTTACCTCACTTTTATATTATTTAAGAACTAAAGCCAAAATACAAGTAAAAAACCGTTTTTTTTTATTTTTTGGAAGGAAAAGTTAGCTTAACTGTTATGGTTCTTTGATCAGGGCTGTTCCAGTAAAAATCTGCTTTAACCCAGAGCTCTTCAAATAAATCACTATTGTCCATGGTTTGGTCATCTTCACTAGCCAAGGCCACTTAGTTTCATGGCATTGCCATGAAAGGAAGTGGCCTTGGCTAGCAAAGATGTGGTTTGGTTTACTTGTCTATTATTTCTAATCAAATTATCAGTTCAATTTTCGCATGGTACCCTTAATGAAAAATGTGGAGATCTGGGGTACATGTTAAAGATGTTTTACTGGGCAGCCCTTAGGCCAAGATCATGCTCTAGTTTCATTTAAAGTGGGATTTATACTTAATGTCTAAGTACAGATCATTTTCATATTTAAAGAACATTAAATGAATAATTTGCTGTGATACTGTTTACTTGTTCAGTAGTTAGGTCTCTCTAATGTTAGCAGTTTTCGGGTTGTCATTTCTAACAATGAAGCCATTGACCTAATTCTAAGTGTTATTTAGCAGTGATATTGATATTTTGAAATCTTTAATATTTATCACGCCATTTCCATGTTTTTCAGAATTACACACTGGTACAATTAAATTGATAGTTTTATACAAAATTGTTTATTTGACTTAATTTATTGGTAATGGAATAAAGTTATACATGTATAAAGTGTTTTACCTCTTATGATGTTGATAAATGAAAATAAATAGATACACATTCCCTTTTGTTGTATCTTGCTGTATTGAAGAGGGAAGATGTCATATGTCATTGTTTATAAATAAGTCTGAAAATCCTTGAACCTTTCCAACACCTTTTAAGTATTATAATGTATCAGAAATTAACTTTATTTTCGTAATCAGGCAGTGTGGAGACTTGTGGCACAATTCTCACCTGTGATCTCTTTGATAAACATAAAAGGAATCACAGAGTAAAATAAATGTTAAGATAACCAGTTTTTTGTATAGTCATTAAGCATTGGCTTTACAATTGGTAAGAAAATATCTTAAATCAATTAAACATCTACATGCTATTGACTTTGTTGACATTCCAAGAGTACAGAGGAGATTTTTAAATGGAGATAAGAGCTCTTGCATTTTGAAGACAACCATATCCTAGAAAAAATCCTTCTCTATGCAGTATTTGCTGAAGTTTCTTGATACAAGATAAAAAATTATAAAAAAAAATATATGATTCTAATTAAGATATATGAAACTCGATCAAAGTTTCTGTTTTCATAAATTGCTTGCATCATAAAATGAAACACAAAAATGTTCCTCAATCACATAAATATAATTTCATGTGCTATTTACCTTATATATATTTGATGTTTTCCAGTTCTAAAACAAAATTATGGGTTGTTTTTAACACTGATCATTGTCTGCTAGGTCTCTGTTGTTGTTATGTATTGATATGTAGACAAACTCAGCTTCTCAGTTACATTTTTCTGACCACCTGAAACTGTTGACAAATTTGGTCTTTGTCATTACTGTGAATTGAATGGCTACATTTCAAAAAACATTTCTGCAATCTTTTTTAATGCTTATGGAAAACAATAGAGAATTTAAGGACAAATTCATCCTTAACACCTTTACAACAATATTTTCCCACAGTTACATTTGTTGAACTGCAGCCTGATGCTATTGGTAATGAACGGTTTATTGTATTTTTTTGACAATTCTGGATGATGATGTTTCTTGAAGAGCCCCAGATATTTGGTGCTCAATTTTGATTTGTCCAAGAAACAATGCATGCATGTTTTGTATATATATTTAATAAAATTGTAAATAAATCTGATTTCTCAGAAGTTAAATTTGGCTTTAGTTAAATTAAAGCAGCTTTGCATAATGTATACAGACACCTGTGTGTATACAGTGAGAGCTTGTGTCCACACAATAACTGTTATTGGGGTGTAGTATAACATTGTATTGATGTGATTGTGCTACTAAGTGTGTGCATGGGTCTCAACATATCTAGTCAAGGTAGCAGACCTTTTCACAATTGAGAGTTTGAATTCAATTTTTGAGTAATAAAATAATTGTAAAATTAAAACTATCATGTGTTGTGATTCATGCCCTATACAGCATGACAGATCAGAAGGTTAGTTTTATATTGGTAAACTTGCTAGATGTATTGTCATCGAGGGTTGTTGTAAGGACAGACTAAACATCCTAAATGTGACGACACTGAGGGTTGTTTAAGGATATACTTAACATCCTAGATGTGACGCAACCAAGGGTTGTTAAAGGACAAACTTAACATCCTAGATGTATCGACACCGAGGGTTGTTTAAGGACAGACTTAACATCCTAGATGTATCGACAACCAGGGTTGTTTAAGGATAGACTTAACATCCTAGATGTATTGACAACCAGGATTGTTTAAGGACAGACTTAACATCCAAAATGTGAGGACACCGAGGGTTGTTTAAGGACAGACTTAACATCCTAGATGTATCGACACCGAGGGTTGTTTAAGGACAGACTTAACATCCTAGATGTATCAACACCGAGGGTTGTTTAAGGACAGACTTAACATCCTAGATGTATCGACACCGAGGGTTGTTTAAGAACAGACTTAACATCCTAGATGTATCGACAACCAGGGTTGTTTAAGGATAGACTTAACATCATAGATGTATCGACAACCAGGATTGTTTAAGGACAGACTTAACATCCTAGATGTGAGGACACCGAGGGTTGTTTAAGGACAGACTTAACATCCTAGATGTATCGACACCGAGGGTTGTTTAAGGACAGACTTAACATCCTCGACAGAGGGTTGTACTTAACATCGACACCAGGGTTGTTGTAGATGTAATTGAGGACAGACTTAACATCCTAGAGGGTTGTATAACATCCATCGACAACCAGGATTGTTTAAGGACAGACTTAACATCCTAGATGTATCGACACCGAGGGTTGTTTAAGAACAGACTTAACATCCTAGATGTATCGACAACCAGGGTTGTTTAAGGATAGACTTAACATCCTAGATGTATTGACAACCAGGATTGTTTAAGGACAGACTTAACATCCTAGATGTGAGGACACCGAGGGTTGTTTAAGGACAGACTTAACATCCTAGATGTATCGACACCGAGGGTTGTTTAAGGACAGACTTAACATCCTAGATGTATCGACACCGAGGGTTGTTTAAGAACAGACTTAACATCCTAGATGTATCGACAACCAGGGTTGTTTAAGGATAGACTTAACATCCTAGATGTATTGACAACCAGGATTGTTTAAGGACAGACTTAACATCCTAGATGTGAGAACACCGAGGGTTGTTTAAGGACAGACTTAACATCCTAGATGTATTGACAACCAGGATTGTTTAAGGACAGACTTAACATCCTAGATGTATTGACACCAAGAGTCGTTAAGAGGGTAGACTAAATACTTAAAAAATACTGCTACAATATGTACCAATTTGTTACGAAGCTGTAATCACAATAACAGTCAAAAGGCAGGAAAGTGTTATGTTTTCTTTTGCAGATATCCTTTAGTAATCAGTCTGTCCATCCATCTGAAATCCATTCGTGTCCGCTTCATAACATTGTAAACTGTCATGGTAGAGTATTGAAACTTTGTATGATTGTTTTAAAACCACTATGAAGAGATATGTTATTTACAAAATTCTTGTCCTCCAAAGAGCAAGTTCTCTTAAGAGTTTATTTTAAGGGATGTCTATATTTGTATGTGTATCTGTCTGATACCAATCAGTGTCTGCTTTATACCATATCAAACAAGAGGGATGACACTTTGTAGGATAATTAACCATTATGAGAAGGTGAGTGGCATACGTTATATAGTTTGTCTTTCAAAGGTCAAGTATTGAAACGTAAGCTTCTCTTTTTACCTGTATAAATACAAAAAGTGGTGTCTGCCATAGAAAATCAGCACAACACAAAACATTTGCCTCCATTTTCTTCCCTTTGTCCTTGTTTTTTTTTTCTTCTTTTCATCCTGGTTCAAAGTGCATAATAATATATGATGGATCCAGTCACCAGTTAAGATTTCCAAAAAGTACAAAATGGAAATTAAAATAACAAACCACTTCTAAATCACTATACTGGACTTTTAACACAATAGATGTAATCATGTGTTTTTTCTCCATATTCTACAATTTATCTGCCCAATTGAATATCATTAATAAAAAACTGCTCCGTAACTTTGCAATCAGGAAAGTCTTGTTATCACCATGGTTTCCATTTCCTTGTCACATAATGATGTCATACTACTGTATATTTAGAATCACAAAAGCTTCAAGATTGACAAAACTAAGCTATTTAATGTAATTTGAACTGTGATGTTCTAAATATATAAAAGGTGTTGTACTGGTAACTGTTGACACTTAACCACCAAGAACATGTCAATATTTTCCTGTCCTTCTTAATTGTCATTAGCTATGTTTTAACACTATTATACTAGGTCCATAATATAAAGTAATAATTCAATAGATCTAATGGCTTTTAGGTCAGTTGGTCAATGTGCTGATGCCATAAAACTCTACAGCATCAAGTCTTGTACCTTGTTAGCTTTTCTGACTTTTAGTATGAAAGGTACAGACTATTCAAGGAACAATATTGTATCTTAACAAACACAAAACTGATTCAATTTAAAAAAAAAACATGTTTATTTAATAATGACACCAATATTATATAAATATAATGATTTGCTAAATCCCATGATAAAATACAGGTTTGTTGAATCTGATCTCGCATCGTACACAATACCATGGAGGATGAAGCTGTCCTGAACATTACAAGTAATCACGTAGTGCTTCGTTTACATGTCCTTGTCCAGGACTCCCGACATCCTACAGAAATGTCTGATCTTCTTTAGCACGATCAAGTATAGTTCATAAGTCACTTTTATATGCTCTCTGATGAGTGCCTAGATGACAAATCATGGAACACTAAAGGGTGACTTGGCAGATTTTGATTTTTCTAGGACGCTGCTGCAGTAAAGATGAGGAAAATTAAGATTTTACAAATCTATGGAGTTGTTACCCAAATAAATCTGTCACAGCAATCTTACACTTTTCATTATGAACAAGTTTTAATGCAAATGGGACATTACAACTCTTTGTTCAGTAATATTATACCAAAACAACTTTATCTGTTTATGTGATGATTTGATAATGAGCATGTCAAATTTAGCCAAAACATCGGTCATATATGGTGGCATATTTTTTTTAATTCTGTCTTCTTGTAATGTAAAGTTGAGTGCCCTTCAGGCAGGTATTGACAATTATCTTACCTGTTTACATGTTGTTGTCCTGAGAAAAGGACATAACTTCTTCTAGCAAACAAATGACATAACAATCAATACCTGATGACAAGAGCAGATAACTCTGCATTACAACAACACACAATTACCATAAAGGATACAAAAGAAAAAAATGTTTTTGTATCTTCACCAAACTCTTATTATCATTTAAGATCTAAAAGATGAGACGCTTCATCAGCGATGTAAATCAGATCACAAGTGATGGACTTGTGCATTCATCAGTTTTAGATCTTTACATGAAAATTGACATAAAATCTAAAAATTGCCCATTGGCTGTCATTCAGAGTTACTTTTCACGTCTCATTCTAACAAATGCTAATTACACTCAGCCTGGTTATAAAGACAGAGATACATTAAATTATTTATTAAATTGTGAACCTCTACATACTTTTACCTGGTATAACTCACACACGTGTACCACTATTTACCAGGTCTAGCAATCACACAGGTGTACATTATACTATTTACCAGGTCTAGCAATCACACAGGTGTACATTATACTATTTACCAGGTCTAGCAATCACACAGGTGTACATTATACTATTTGCCAGGTCTAGCAATCACACAGGTGTACATTATACTATTTACCAGGTCTAGCAATCACACAGGTGTACATTATACTATTTACCAGGTCTAGCAATCACACAGGTGTACACTATACTATTTACCAGGTCTAGCAATCACACAGGTGTACATTATACTATTTACCAGGTCTAGCAATCACACAGGTGTGCATTATACTATTTACCAGGTCTAGCAATCACACAGGTGTGCATTATACTATTTTCCAGAAATAGCTGTCATACAGGTGTACAATATACTCTTTACCGGAAATAACAGTCACACAGGTGTAGAAAATTCTCTTTACCTAATGTAACAGTCACACAGGTGTAGAAAATTCTCTTTACCTGATGTAACAGTCACACAGGTGTACAATATACTCTTTACCTAATGTAACAGTCACACAGGTGTACAAAATTCTCTTTACCTGGTGTAACAGTCACACAGGTGTACAAAATTCTCTTTACCTGGTGTAACAGTCACACAGGTGTACAAAATTCTCTTTACCTGGTGTAACAGTCACACAGGTGTACAAAATTCTCTTTACCTGGTGTAACAGTCACACAGGTGTACAAAATTCTCTTTACCTGGTGTAACAGTCACACAGGTGTACAAAATTCTCTTTACCTGGTGTAACAGTCACACAGGTGTACAAAATTCTCTTTACCTGGTGTAACAGTCACACAGGTGTACAAAATTCTCTTTACCTGGTGTAACAGTCACACAGGTGTACAAAATTCTCTTTACCTGGTGTAACAGTCACACAGGTGTACAAAATTCTCTTTACCTGGTGTAACAGTCACACAGGTGTACAAAATTCTCTTTACCTGGTGTAACAGTCACACAGGTGTACAAAATTCTCTTTACCTGGTGTAACAGTCACACAGGTGTACAAAATTCTCTTTACCTGGTGTAACAGTCACACAGGTGTACAAAATTCTCTTTACCTGGTGTAACAGTCACACAGGTGTACAAAATTCTCTTTACCTGGTGTAACAGTCACACAGGTGTATATACTCTTACACTTCACTGAACCTACATCACATACATGTACCTCTACACACATACAAAATGATATAAGTTACAGGTGTATACTTAACCAAACATTTAGTCACATACTAGTACAATATACTCTTACTACACATATGTAATGAATTTGAAAAGGTCTCGTCAAACTCTTGCATAACAATAAACTGGTTAAATAAAGACAAACTCTAGTTACAACAAGACTTTACAGCTTTACATTTTTTCACAGTCTTCACTATTCTAGTAATAAGCTGTCAAAAACAGTTAACAATGTCCCATACGATAACATTATCACACTGGTACATGCTGACATTATCTTGACATTCAAAAGCTGAAATAAAACTGATACTTTAAATAAAAGGATACCTCAAATATTCTAATAACTTATTCTTTACTTTATTTTCCAGAAAAAAATATCAATTTTCACAGTAGTGCACTATGACATCTATTTACAATTAAGAAGAAACTGGCATTTACCATGTTAAATAAAGACTTTAATTTCAATACAGAGTTATAATCATTCCTTTAAAATTCTATGTTACAAATTTTCTTAAGGGGCCTAAAATTAGAAACGTTAAACTGGCTAACATGTTTTCCATCAAATGTTCATTTATATAGGTTAATCTGACAGATGCTATATATATTTTTTGCTTTCCACAAGAAGTCAGAATGGACAGGTTAATCTGAATCATATTTATGTAAGATTAACTTATTAAGAACATAAATCAATACATTTTTTCAATTAATCCTAAAACAGTTGAACATAAAAATGTTTTACAAAAATTCTTTTAAAAAATACATAACATTGAACCACACATTTCACAAATATATCTTATTTGTATCAAAATTTTGTTCTAGGCATTTAATACAGAATTATTCACAATAATAGCTGGTTCTAATCATCATCATACAAAATTCATGCATAACGCACGGACAAAAGGCAATCACAGTAGGTCACTAGTGACTATGGCTCAGGTAACCTAACAATAGGACTATCTGCGATGATTTTTTCATGCTAAAAATACTTTATTACATGATTTTTTAAAACAGAATTATGTAAAGAGCACATTTTTATTTTCACAAAAAGAAGGTTTTGTTTTCAGTTAAATCAACTTGAGATATATAGTATCTCTACTGATGTATGGTGATGCCTGAAGATCACATAGGTTATTTTATGACAGGAAAATTGGAAGCTTGAAATAACCTGTAGAAGATAGTAACACTTACTGTAAAATAATATTTTTAAGAGGAATTTATTTTCATTGAATTCATGGGTACTCTAAATCCATGAATGACCATAAAATCATAAATGGACAGAAGTTGGACTGGAATTTACACAAAATCAAGTGCCATCATCAATCATATATATTTTTGGAAAACCATGAAATTTTGTCAAACAAAACTATAAGATGTTATGGTAACATGTGCCTAATGTTTCTATTTTTTATTTTCTGGTAGTCAAAGGTGAAAGTTACATCTTAGCAAACCATGTAACATTCTTTATTTCAATAATTGCACACAATATCTTATTGGAATCATTAAAGCTATACAAATCATGTATAAAAATATTTTGCCATTCAAAACATTTTGTTGCGAGAAATTCTTCTGGAAATCTTCTGATATATCTCGCGAGAAATTCTTCTGGAAATCTGATATATCTCAAACAGACATGTTCCTTTCACTTTTCTCAATTCCAAATCTCTATGTATGAGACACAGTGGAGATTTACTGTAGGGGAAGCTCGTCCAAAATTTACAGTACCAGTCATTGAAATTCATTCAATAATAGGAATTGGTGGCATGAACAGTGAGACTGAGACAAAGTTGAAGGGCAATAACTCCTACACACCCTGTAAACATAGCCTTGGCTAGAAGGAGTGTCCAGGACCCTAGGCCAACTGCATGGATCAATATTCTGCAACAGAAGATAAAATCTAGTGTTTAGAATTGTGACATGATTGGACCCTATTTCTTTCTCTGGAAAAAAGACTTTATAACAGGGTCTTATGTCACTAACAGGAATTTCAAATTACCATTCATATCATGCACCTATGTTATGTGTTTTTGAAATATAATCTTTTATCTATGTTGAAATACATTTGTGGGGGATATTAAATTTGGCTCCATTCATTATAGGTTTCTTGACATTGACATTTTAGGCCTTAAGAAAATATTTGGCTACCAACAGGGAAGGGAGATAACCCCTAAAACATTACTCAGGAGATATGTACCGGTAATGATACTCAGGCCAAATCTTTTAATTAGATATCAGTATAACACACTATTTCATGCTCGCTTCATCACTGGGTAGCATCTGTAACTAGTGGTGAGAAATGGTCTCACTAAAATTATCAGTCTTATAACCAGTACATATTGGCCGTTTTTATTTTTAGTCTGGAGAGAACAATTCATCCTAACCAGCTATCATTTCCACGGCCACATATGACACATGAAGATGATATTATTTGAAGTTTGCTACCTTAACTGATAACTAAAAAACAGAAAGGATATTCACATCAACGTTCTGATACCACAATCCCTGGTGGAGCTTTTCCAATCACTTCTACCTTCATATCTGGCTTATACACTTGAACCCGAAGTACTGAAAAACTCACAGCTCTTGTCTCTAGTCTCTAGTTGGCAAAGCACCAGGACGTGGCATGTCCTGCAGATACTTACTCTACAATGAGTGGCCTGTAGCAGCTCAGGGCCAATAAGGTCAGAACGACTGGTACAAATGACCTCTGAAGGTCACTCCTGCTCCGTAGCCAGACAAGCATGGCGGTACTAATGTGGTGGACCTACAATAAACAGTGTTAAGTAATGAATACATTCCTCATTTAAATATGGACCAGCACTGTCCATAGTCAGTTTGTCAAATACAGATGTCTGGCTTAACACACACACTAAGTACATAAACAATCACTTATTACAGACCACAACAACCAAGTAAATAAACAGTCACAAACCTTACTAGAAATACTGGCAAAGCGTATTGAAATATAGAATAGATTGAAAGGAAGAAAAAGAACACTTTTTTCTCCAGTATATTACAATGCACTTTCAGAGAGAACACAGAAAAGGTGTTACACCTCAACTACCCACCAAATTGATGTTAGATTCAAAGCTCATCTGTATATACTTCCAGTCGAATTCCACTCCCCTGGCTCCAACCCAAAGAGGTAAAAACCTGTAAGACAATAGGTCATCCATCAATCCGAGCGAAGAATACAGAGAATGTAATATATACCAGGGTATTGTTAGGTTATAACACCATTTGATCATATAACCATTCTGTGTAAAATAATCAATTATGATGAATGTTTCAGAAAATTACATTTCTGTCCTAAAACACAGATACACTAATAAAAAGCCTTCACACAATAAGGTCAAATCTATTTCATATTTATTTGTTGTGCCCCTATACCCTAAAGTGTATTTTTTCTCTAGAATTCTTTTTTCAGTAGGCTAATGTAAGCTGTGTGCAGAGCTGTCAGGTCTTCACTGGAATTTTCTTGTTTCCGAAATATAAAACTACGCTTGTATTCCACAATAAACATTCAAATGAAAAGTGGGATAAGTAAATTTCAGCATCCCATAATATAAAAAGGTCATGAACTATCCATAATAGACATGTACAAACTATCACAGGGCTATATGTGTCCTGACATCTTAACAAACTACAATGTAATCTCCTTAAGTAGCTGAAACGTTTTTTTAATTATATTTTTCATTGATTTATGTCGATCGTGATCAAAAACAAGTTAATGACATTGTTTTCTGATTATCTTTTTCAATAGTATACCTGGTCATCAGAAGCTCTGCTGTTGCCCAGCCAAGTCCAGCCACCATAAATTTTAACTGACCTTTCCCAGCAATTTTAGACATTACAAAATGAATTCCAATCAGATCTGCTAAATCAACTGTTGATTTGAGAAATTCCTAAAAAAATAAAAACAAAAACAAATAGAGAAATAAAAAGATATAAACAAAAACTCATCATGTCCAAAATTCATTTTTCTTTTTGAGATTTGAAAATAATTATGATACACTTACTCCAATAACATCCATTCCTCCGGGTACAATGTCTGTCGATGGGAAGAAAGAAGCAAGGATGAGGATTTTACAGAGTTGTGTGAACAGATAGGCACCTCCTGCCTGCACACATTTCCAAAATGCGCTGTACTCTGCTCTGGAACAGAAAAATGAATACTAGTAAATAATTCTTTAGTCCAGTACTTAAATATTAAAAGTTCCAAACTCATTGTGGAATACATGTAAAATTTCCAGAATACACTTTTTCAATAAAAAGTGTACATCTTTCTGTAACTAGAAAAACTATTCTATTGATAGAATATGGACTATTATACTGTTGAATATGGTAGGCATAACAGAGTATCTGAACATACTATTGTATTACGTCATAATCAGATATGTACTAATTTTAGATAGGGAGCTGCATTTATAGTACTTTAGGGGTCTGAAAATTGTAAAGTTTGTCCTGAGGAAACCCAAGAGGGCAAAACCGGCAGACGAACAACATAATAAAAACTGAAGAACCACACACTCCGAGGCCATTGTGATTGATATGTTTAACTAGAAAAACTATTGGTATGAAAATTTAGAAAAAAAAACACCTATAAAGTAACAGAAAATATGTGGTTTATATACATTTGTAAAATTCAAAAACATGCTAAATAACAGTCCTTGTACAAAACTAATGTATTGAGAAGTGATTTCTAATCAATTTATTATGATGTATGGTCTATTCAAAAATTATTTTTGTATGCTACATCACAATCAGCTGTGACTAAAGGAGAAATAAGATCTCAGATAGTCAGCACCCTCAAATCAAGGTCTTCAACTAAATGAAGATAGAATAAGATATACCTTGTTTACTGAAGTAAAGACCTTGCAAACAAAGGCTGGATAAGGCAAACAAGAGAAAAACAGAAAGTATGTGCTTAACCGTTGGTAATGTAATACCTACAACCAAATGGTATTCAGTTGACCATTTACATTTAGTAATTCTAAAATTGTATCACAAAACGAAGGGCTAAAAACATGAAAATAAATATATTCCTCCAAACAGATGGACACAAAAAAGTCATGCCCTTTTTTGTTGCAAATGTTAAAAAATGTGCTTGTATTCAAAATAATTTGTGTAACTAATTGATTACTCAAAACAGTAATTATCCCTTAATTGCAGGACTATTATCCATATGCAGAATTGTGCTCCACCAGATCAATAGAAGACGAAAGGATTTTCAAAATCTTTGGGTCAATCACAGACACTTAGCTCACTGATATTAATAAAATAGCAAGTTTCAAATAAAGTCGTTTCGACACTCTTAAAAATGTTTGGCTTATTTAATTTGTCTTTTTAAAGTATTTTGTCATTGATAAATATTGCTCGTTCTGTTACTGGAAACTGTTCACTCAAAATGACACTCTAGTTGTGTAAACCATTTTGCAAGTACCGAAACAACTTTGTATCGAAATGACTTGAATTCGTTCTGTCAGGAGCTACGTGGCTGCGGGCCATTAATCTGACAGGGTCCTGAGAAAGCCCTGTGTGACACAAACAAGTTGTATATCTTCACATGGCAATTCAGAAGTAAACAATGGATGAAGACCAAGTCCCTTATTATGAATTAAGTTTCCTATCCTGCCTCCTCCTTCATCTCCTGCAACCAAACTAAACATAATCTGTACTGATGCACCGCTTGGGGCGTTTATCGAAATCGCATGTACTTACAATCCTGAACATTTGTAGACTATGACGTACGGGACATACGCTAATGCAACACAGTTTCCAAAATGAAATAGTGTCATTTTGTCTGAAAGGATGTGCCTTTCAGGTGAAAAGATATGTCGTACGCGTGTGATGGTCTATACCGGAAGCGATTGATCCAAAACATACTGTTTCCGGTAGCACAGAAGTAAATATTCCAATTTTCTTTTTTAATTTCTTATTTATTTAAATATCAGGAATTTGTAAATGTCATATGTTTATTTCCAATAATTAATTCAGGAAGTAAGTTTATCTTTCATATATATGTATTCTATTAAATCAAAATATTATATTCATCTAATCACTTCCCTTAGCAACGGCAGTGTTATGGCTTTTATCTGAGTGGAAAGTATTTGACGGGGGGTACGATTGGATGTAACAAAGGACCCATTCTTTTAAATCAAGATGGCCCTTCATTTTAGTGCAGACCAGGTAAGAAAATGTAATAAAATGAACCCATTGTGTTATAAATACTGCATTCCTGTAGTGCGTGTGCGGTTTCACCATAGCAGTCGATAAAAAGACCTGCATTGACGTGTCAGATATCATATTTGACACAATCAAAACATTGCTTGTATACGCACACGGTCTAAATAAATGGGGAATTCTTTACAATTTATGGACATTTCATTGGGAATGATTTTGGGATCACATGAGTTACATTATCCAAAATTCAATTATTCTCTGTCCATCAAAAAGTGATTCGTGTTACTTTCAATCTACTTCCAGGACTGGCTCTTTAATTTTCATATTAGCTTATAAAGCTGATGACTTTATACTTGATTAGCAGCTAGATCAATATCTATCCAATTATTGCTTTGATGAAAGAAAAACTAACATAAGTTATTAAGCTTAATTTAGTAATTATAAATTTCTTGATAATTCATTTAATTATTAAACTTTATTTCTCAAACCATTTTTTGCATCATTTCTGTTTGCAGTACAACAAGGCATTTGATCCAAAACTTTTACAGAATTGGGAAGTCCCAGCACAACACAGGGCAGTAAGTATAATTATTACTGTTTGTCATTTTTCAATTTGCTTTTATATTACACATGAATGCCAACTGAAAGCAATTCAATGCTTAAGTAACCTGCCCATAGTAACTGGGAAATTCTCATGACCACTGCAGTGTACATAATACCTGGTCTGTTTTGTTACCTGCACTTGCCCAATCCCCTGTATTGGCACAATCAGGCTTTTGTCCACTAGCTCAGTCCATTTGTAGCAAGGGAGGTTATTTTGTTTGATATTATCCATAGTAGGTACAAGTTTGTTCAGCACTGGTCTGTCTTGTGTCTCTTAAGATTTTATAAATTCATGAATTAGACTCAAAATATGACAACTTTCCAACAGTATCTAAGTAAGCGTGATAAATGTGTGGTAAGTAGCTCACTATAATTTATTCCATTAACTTTCATATCATATTGAGAAATGCTATTTCTCTTTTGACTTCTTCAAATTTAAATGACTTGCATGGTATGTTCTGGTTACAAACAAACTAGAATTATTTACAAATACTTTGACTTGGATTTAGAACTATTGCTATGACACAGGTTTTTGTTAAATACTTAATTTGAATTTTTCATTAAGGGTAGTCGCACAGTACATGTACAAGTGTAATACTTTTAAACATATATTCCTCTTATTATCAAAATCTGTTGGTGTGGACATTTCATTCTAACATCGTTGAAATATTATTCTAAAGAAGAAAAAACACCAAAAAACCATATTGTATTGATGTGTAAACTTAACACATTTGATTTTAAAACATTTTCTTGGATGATAGCATGTTGATTTAAACATTTACAGTCACGTATTATGTATTAAGGTAATTACTTTATGTATTATGCATGTATATTTTTTCGAAGTCTTTATTTCATATTATATGTATTTCTATGCTCCTCTGAGGGAGAGCATATAGTCAACACTGTGTCCATCTGTCATAATTTTGTCCAGAACATTACACAAAAACTAAAAGAGGTATCAACAGAAAACATCATTGGTAGATAGATCTTAAAAAGGAGAAGTACATTACACCAGAGTCATCACTCTCTTTTGCGTAATTTAGGAGTTATTGCCCTTTATTATTTTTCATACTTAAATTTTGTATGGAGCATTTCACTAAAACTATTAGAGCTACCAACATGAAACTTCATAAGTAGATAGATCTCCATGAGAAAGAGTCCAGTGCATAAGAATCATAACTCTTTTATTGCCCTTTGTTATTTTTCATACATAAATTTTGTCCCATACAGGCAGAATAACCCATCTCTTGACAGCCTTTGTTGTTACATTTTTCCTGGGTTACATATAGCTGCATGACTGAACAAATTAATTCTAACTAAAGTTTGTCTTCTGATTAACACTACATTTGAAAAATGTCAATTAAAACACTTATTGAACAGATGATATATATATATATTTTTTTTTCTAAATTATATGACATGGAATTTTTAATGCCATCCATATTCTATAAAATGTTGATATCGTGTGACTGCACCATTCATGTCTTCAATTAACATGCTGATGTACATTTGTTATTTCACCAAGAAAACTTATAAGACCTTCATCTTTCCAGATTTGATATATGAGAGGAATTAATTGTGTCTCAAAAACTGATAGTTAAACACATTGGACATCAAAATATCAGACTGCCCTACATATGGCAGTTTTCAGTAAGTTTTGCAATATTAATACTTAGGTTTGGTATTTTTCCTATTTTAGACCTGATATATCAATTAACTTTGTTTTTATTACATAATTACCAAATTCTATATTTCTTGACATAAAAAGCACAGTTTATCTTGTTTTTAGGTACATGTATTGATACAATTTTTTGTGGTTTGTAAATTTATGTACTCTTTGAGGGATTGAAGTTTTCTCCACCGTGGAAATTTAGGAAAAGGTTTGCAAGTATGACAGAATTTTGTATATTTGCTGTATGATATGCAGATGTAAATCCCTACCCCCAACCCCCAGAAGCAAGCAAAATAAAAAAAAAAAAGAGACATGGGAAAAAAAAGCTGTCATGTTTTCAGGTGTAACAGTAACTGACAGATCAAACCAGAGGACATATTTTTCACACATCTTTTTTCAAATTTTCACCAAATTGTGTCATTTTGTTGCAGAGGCCTAATGCATACACAGGTTTTACACAAATCAAGGCAAATGACAGAGGTCACCTACTCCCAGGTGTCAAAAGGTCAAGGGAATCTCCATGGGGAACATATGTTGGTACCTGGGACTTACCCCTTAAAATACCAGGTATGATATATTTTTCTTATGAAATACTGGTAATTGGAAAGGATAAATACATCTGATTTTAACTTTTCCACTAACTGAGTTTTAAGATATATAATAGATACCTGTAATCGCCATAACTCCAATACCACAGCTTTCACAGAAAAAGTCAATATATATGACTTAATATACAATTAATTTGCCAGTCCATGGTAGACTTCTATGCTTCAAAATTAATATGAAATAATTTGAGGCATTTTTAAAATGTCATTTGCTTTGTTTGTCCATCTGTCTAACCTTCTGGGGAGCTATGATAGCTCAGTCAGTAGTGTGTTAGTCTTAGGTAAAGGTCTGAGGTATGGGGTTTGACACTCTGTTCCCAAAGCAGTTAGTGTTTCTCAGGAAGCTTACAAAAGGACCAGTCTTTGCTGACATGGTTCTGTCATTGGGCAAGACATTTTACCCTTACTGCTCTGGATGACTTGAAACTGGCCTCCTGTATGTTGTTCAGTGAGGTAGCCACCAGCTACTACAAGGAGACCCCACCTCATTGTCAACCCTGACTGTCCATGAGGCAATAAATCCAGCAAACAAACAAAATAACTGACAATCTGTTTGTTCATTTTAGCTCCTATCCACACTGTCTGTCCATCTGCCTAATCTTCTGTCTGTTGATATTTTAACACACGGAATTCATTCATTTAAAAATGCCAGTTGATAATTCAACATTTCATCAATATGAAGTTTTTATGTCCTTTTATTGTAGAGCATATAGAGCTACATATATATGTCTGTCTGGTATCATCCTGAATCCTGATCGTGTTACATCCAAAGACATAACATGAAACTTCTCTACAAATTTGATTCATACTTACCCAATAGTATCACAATATCAAGTTCTTCCTTTTAGTGTTCAGTTTATCATAAGTCAAGGTTAAAGGGTCAAAGGTCACATCATACATGGAATTGCTATGTAGCATTCAAGTGTTAGAGAAAGTTTTTCTTTGGAGGGGAAATCTACAGGCTAGAGCTTGCATTAAATGTAACATTACAGTGTACATCAATTAGGCCAAGGCTAATTCCCCAAAGGGTAAAGGTCAAGCCTCCAAATTAGTGTGATTTAGATTGTCTAGTACAATAGTAAAGGCAAAGCTACTGTTGAAAACAGTAGATCCCACAAGCAGGAAATTCTGTGAAGCATTACGAAAATCTAAGAGAATTCCGCAATTTCCAGATGGGTAGATAAGAATGCAATGTCGCCACAAATATTATTTTTTTATATGTTGCTACACAAGAAAACATTGACTTATAGTTAGTATGTATATTGTTTCAAATTCTGATTGCTTAATTCTGTCCAGTAAGTTCTCCATTTCACATGTGTTGTCATTGACATATATCTACTTTGATTTTTTCAGAAATCTGAGCTTATCATATAGTTCAGTTTTAAGTTGATCAATTTGCTTGTTTATTGTATTGAAATACTTATCCTTGTCAGCCCTCAAACAGCTTTATTCCTTGGGGAGGATTTTCATCAAACTCCACACACTTACAAAGGACCATTATGTTTCAGACAAGTTTGAGGTTGAGTGTTATTGGATCAGGACTGGTATTTTTAGAAGTCCTGAACACTCTATATGGCTTCATTTCTTTTGGGATATACAACAAACATTTCACACTAATAATGGACCATAATATTACAGACAAATTTGAATTTGAGGATATTGGGTCAAAGGTCATGGTCACTTATTTTAGGAAATCTTGTACCAGGTATCAGTGCTCAGGAGGCTTCATTCTTGTAGGGATTTTGAAGATCATAATATCACAGAGATGGTTACAAGGTTATGGAGTTAATGTTTACAGTAACCATTCCAAGGAAAGAAAATTCAGCTCTCAGTAACAGGTTCATTCCTTCAGAGATTTTGATCAAAGTTCAGAAAATTAGCAGTCTTCTTGAAATTTATTGTACTTAAGTCAAGGTGGAACTGCAAGGGTAGTTGACTTGTTTACAATGCCTTGTTTATTGAATATTATGTGTGTTTACTCATTTTTAATGTTTTTGTAATTTTTTGCTATACCAGGTAACAATATGACAAACAAAACAGCGAGAACATTTGAAGCTGTACAGAGGTTAGACAGATGTAAGACCGATGGAGAAATCATACTGAAGGGAAAACTTAAAAAGACCAAGGTATTTTTCATAAAAGATGGTTAATTTATATGTTTACTAAAATTACCATAAATATGTCATTCTTTCTTCATTTGTTGAGAAGCTCATGTGATTTTAGACAGAAGGGAAAAGGTAAAAATAAAAGAGAAAAATCTATTACATGTATCCTACATATTGTACAAAGGACTAACTGTTTTAATTGGTAGATTCCTGATGCCCTGCCAGTGAAGATTGATGAGAAAGCTGATGCTGAAGTTATTCCAGCTGCCCCACAAGTCATGGCTAAAGATGGCTCTCCACGATCTGGGGCCATTAACCCAGAACCTATATCAATCAGTCCCAAAGACATTGTCTACTCCCCTAAACCAGGTACGCCATCCATCAACTGGCCCAAGCCTGGGTCCCGTGCACAATCCGCTGCCCCTCGTCTAACTTCCCCGGGAACAGGTCGGCTCCTCACCCCACAGAGGGTGATCACGCCCGTCCCCCAAACCAATGCTGCTATGGCAGGAACACAGGAACCAAGAGTACTGTCACCCTCTGCTACCACTATCAACTGGCCCCGTCCTTGCTCAATAGAGGCCCCAGTACTCCCTCCTGGTAATTAAAACTAACACAACAGAAGGGCAGGGGACCACCTCAACCATGTGTTGTAACAGTTTCTGGGAGAATACCAGTTTTCAGAGTGGTAGACTTTCTATTCCTTTAAGAAGAATGTCACTTATCTATTAGAAATCTTTCAGTTGGCACTTTTTTCCAATCTTAGGAACTTCAATTTCTCTGAATATAGTGCTTTTTTATATTAGTTTGGTATCATTGAAAATCCAAAAAATTCTTTTTTTTTTAACAAAATAACTAGTGCTTCTACAGTTTTCAGGAGACAGAAAGATAATGAAAGAGAATAGATAAGAAATAATTTGCATAATTACAACTAAAATATTCTGGTAAACGACTTTAAACTGAAATGATTTCTATTGCACAAATGTATTGTGTAATTTTCAGCAGTTTATATATATAAAACCTCGGGCCATAATTTTACAAAAAATATTACATTATTTTCACTTATGTATTAATACGATACTGAATTATAAAATTTTAACATAAAAAGAAGATGACAATTCTAAAATATTCATAATTTCTGTATTTTATCGGTTTATAAAATTATGAAATGATTATTATATATCTTGAAAAACTGACCTTGGCAATTCTTTTCTTAATATTTTGTCTTTACAGTAGCACTGTAAGGATTAGCATGGTTCAGATTTATAATAATTCTGTGTTGCCATATTTTACATATGAGATATATTTACACCTAACTGTGATAGCTCTGTCTACTGTCCACTTTTTGGGAGAATTGTACAATTCGTGCAAAACTGTCATCTGTCTGACAAACCAGAACAGAGTTAGCTTTATTTATTCCTTGTTACATTGGATGATTTATTATGTCTTGTTGTGATCAGTTTAAAAAAAAAATGTTTCTACTGGTGTGAAATGTCTGGATATTTATCGAATTTAAAAAAGTATTTGATAGGAAAGTAAAAAAAAAAAAAAAAAACAATTTTAGCAAGTTTAAAATGTCTAAAATTTCTTGTCTCAAATACATATGAGTACTTTGTTGTTAATTTGTAAATTTGTCAAATGCCAGATGCTGTATTTTGAATATCCATTTACATTCTGTTGAATCTACCTACAGTAAATCTTAGTTTATTATTCTGTGTTTGAAACTGATTTCAAGCTTTCATTAAAATAAAATTATAACCTACTTTGATATTCTCATTAATGATAATTTTAGAATATAGAAATTATAACCAGTAAATCCGTATGATAGAGAATAGATTTGAACATTGACTTAGATATGCCTGATGGGTCTCTGGTTTTATAATGATTCATGATTTGAAATTTACATATATTCAATTTGATAACATTTTTAAATCAGTCATTGTTGGTTATAGATATAGATAATTTTCCTTTAAAAAATCACTATGTATTATGTTGCTTCTAAATGTTTTCTAATAGTTGAATCTGAATTCTGCAACTAATATTCACTACAAACAAAAAGAGCATCACATCTTTTTATGTTTATACTGAAAAGTTGAAAAATCATGGAAGATCACTGTATGTGTTAATATATTTGTCAGTCAAATTTTTATGTTTAAATATGAGATTGGTAATAAAATGTCTTTATTCAGTTTTCAGATTTTTTTGTTTTATTCTCATACACTTTAAGCCACTAAATTGTAAAAAAAAATATCCATATACATTGTAAAATGTAATATTTCAGAAATATTTTAAATTTTTTTTTTTTTTTTTTTGTCTGAAAAGTGGCAAATAATGTTGTCATTTTCTTTTTCAAATTTACAACCATCATTTCCTTTCATGAACATCATTAAACTTCAATTTATGCAAGTGGTTAACAAGATTGTTCAAATTTTGATAATTTTACGAACTGAAATGCCTTCATTTTATATATGGCTAATGGTCCAGTTTCATGAACAGTTCTTAACTTCAAATAAAAAAATTATAAACAGATAAATAAGTATTAAGGAGAGAACTCTTGGAAGAATTTTGTTTTTTCAAAAACAGAGTTAAGTCTGAAGATTGGTCTTTTAGTAATTAACAAGTATGTGTTTAGCTTCAGCAGTGGATCCCATCTTGGAGGAGGAGATGTAGGTGAGGTAAACCTTATATCACCATCACTGTTGCGTGACAAAGAGTTGTCTCCACTTGTTGTAACTCTCCACACGTCGAATTTTTACCGATCTTCACCCCCTTTCAGCGGCGTTGAGGTCACGAATAGCAACACGTTGACGTCACAAAGTAACATAAACATTTCATCTTTAACCTAAAACTATTACGAATCCACATTTTCTTACCGCATTTTTTAAATGTATACAAGGTGTCCGTGTGTTACAAGTGAAGCTTGTGCATGCCCCGCCCACAACTTCTTGTTAAATACCATCTTTAATAAACTTTACTTATTTTACAACTATTCCGAAGCAAGTTTTTCAAACTTATTTTAATCACTCTTGTTGGCTCGAATGGAAGCGCACGAGGGGTCTTAATGAAGGAGGAAACCAGAGTGCCCTGGGAAAACCAACGTGGTCGGGCAGGTGACCCCATACCTTTTCATATATACCATCTTTGAACTCCTTGAGAAATTATTTCTTGTTGAAGTGAAGTATGGGGTACAATAGATAAAGATAGGACTATTCATGGTTATGTCGAAAACTTTTCGGCAATTTTGACTAAATGAAGATGAATCTGTATAAGTTATATAAGTACACGGTATAATGTGGCCTTGTATTTGTGAGCAGCTGAGCATCATTAGATTAATTCCCGGCAAATTTTTTATATGTTCAAAAATGTCCACTACGCTACGCGTAGTGTTAAGACGTTTTCTCTGTATTTTGAAATTAAATTCCTTATATGTTATGAACTTTTTAAAACGTTTGGCAATTAGACAGGAAATAAAAAGAAAATTTATAACCTTTTCTTTAATGTTCTTATTTTCGCTCTGGTTATTTTATTAAGACAAAATAAATCAACAAAAAAGCTGATGTGATAATACCATTATGTTTTTACCTGTGAATGGGGACTGATATAGATACCTGGGAACGGTTATCAAATATACAGTTGTATTAGTTAATTATATCACTCTAGTAGTATTTAATAGAATATGGTTTTAAACTTTAAAGGGTAACTGAGTTTGATTTCATGATATGTAAGCACTCGTGCTTCAACCACTGCACAGCGTTGACGTTTGTGATATGATGATACTTGTCACGTCGTTTAAACAAGTCCCTCACCGTTACCTATGTCGTCCGAGTCTATGAATCAAACTTGCAATTCATCTTCCAATGTCGTTCACATCATCATGTACATACCTGCCAACTTTCCCGATTCAGTCGGGAGTTTTCCGATTCTCACTTCCCAACCCCGTCTCCCGATCGTATGGATCAAAATCTCCCGATTTCAGAGATACACGGTGTATGTTCATAGCTGCAAGAAAAATGAAAGAAAAATCTTATTAATTTTTCTTTTATCTTACTAAACGGAAATATACAAAAAAAAAAAATGAGTTTTAGTCACTTTGTACAAATATACGGAGCATTAAAATACCAAGCTCAGTGGAAATGAAACTGATTTTTTGTATATTTATTTGATTAAAAAGAAGCAATTAAGTTAAAGATTTTTGACACATTGGACTGAAGATGAAAGAAGAAAAAGTTAAAGTAAATAATCCACCATCAAAAGTCCATGGTAGAGCCGGAAATCACACATCACATGTTCTCATTATCCTGTCACTGGGTAACTGACATTCACGTTTTCGCCCGTGTTGATAAATAAATAAATAAATCCGTGTGCTATTTTTACAGTGATGATGTAAAAAAAAACGAGGACACCAAACACATCGTGTAGATGAACTATTTCCTCAGATAAATGAGGCTGTTGTCATACCATTTGGAGAGTGAACGTCTTGAGTGTAAAGTAACATTGTTTCTGTAATGCTTGGAGTCCATTGTCGTTTTTATGTATAAATAAATTACTTCACAAATATTTGAATTGTTTTTTATTGTTTTGGATATATCAAGTTCTTGGTGCCATTGTTTCTTGGGTTATTTTTTTTATTTGTTTACTCTAATTTCTGTAAAACGCTTTACACCCTGAGAGCGAAAAAATGCCTCAAAGTTTCAAGCTACATTTGTGTCAGATAGGTTGAACTAACACTGTTTAACGTGTTAAGTTAAACGAGATATATAACTACCGTGTTATACCACAGGGACTTGGCACGATTTCCCAACCCACAGCCTATATATATGTTTTATAATGATATGTATCATATGGACCCTGCGTTTGGAATTCGTACCAAGTCCCTGTGCATGATGCTCTCTCTCTCTCTCTCTCTCTCTCTCTCTCTCTCTCTCTCTCTCTCTCTCGGTCTCTCTCTCTCTCTCTCTCTCTCTCTCTCTCTCTCTCTCTCTCTCTCTCTCTCTCTCTCTCTCCTTTAATGAAGCCTATTATTTAAATGTTAAAAGGAAAATTTTATGTCGTTTCTTAGATACGTTAATCTTACGAAGCTGTTTATTTCGTTAAAATATTTTTGAATATTTAACATGATAAAATCATAGCAATTAACGTGATCACAATTACTGCATGAAGCTTGTTTTATCGTTAATGGTGACGTTTAAAAGGCGTTTCAATCCATTAGTGTATTTCGTGTCCGACATATGTAACCTCAGACTCACGTCATCTGTATTGCAGTCATATACTAATATTTACATTTTTTCTACAATGCCATTATATAAACTATAGAAGGTAACATAAATGACACCCAGAACGTGACCAATAATGACGTCAGTATTGTTGGCATAGGAACGCACACGATACATCTTCAAAATGAAACAGTTTTTGACGGATTTTACTGTCGATAATTCAACATGCGATGAAATTGAAAATAAAAGCATTGAATCGTCTTGCTATGGCATTTATAGTCAGTATAAATGACAGAGTGTTGAATGCCAATATACCTTTCCCTCTTTTAAGATGGCCATTAGCTGACTACTAAATGCTTTCATTACGATGCTATAGATAAGGACGTTTGTATGACTTGGTATGAATTGTCATGAACAGAGAATAGAGGATCTTAAAAGGAATTTCTATTAATATTAGACTTAACCAAGTTTCTGGCTAGACAATTCGTGACGAGTTCCATGAATTGATCCCACTAGCATATAATAATAACCAGTTACCAAATGTATTGGAGTTATTTCCCCTTTCGAGGACTCTGGAAGTATGTAGCGACTATAAGAACGAAATGAAAGATCGCCGATGAAATGGAAACGATTTCAAGATTCTATTTTTCAGTTATTTTGCAAACTTGTTTCTAACAGCATTTTATAAGATTGATATGAAATCAAAATTGGAGACAATGCATTCCTTATCCCATTCTATAGTGATGTCATAATGTATCTGACGTCGGGAAGGTATGCCATCATAAAGGACGCTGTGAGACCCTCCAG